TTATATATCGAATTAGGTGGCAATGACGTGAACCAAGTAAAAGCATTCTTAGTCAAAGAACTAGGAAAATATTTCATTTTTAATTCTTCACTCATCGCTAAATCCCCACATTCGATCTGATATCGAGCCACGTGCTCGATAGTTGATTCACCAACTTCCCCAGTAAATTTAGTGAATTTGGGTATTTTATATCCTCGAGGCAATTCTGTCTCGAGAATCGCATTTGGAAAGGGAGACACAAAATATGTCTGATTGGGTGGTCTACATTCCATCCCTTGTAAATTCATCCTTTGTCCCAACATATTATTCTGATTGTGTATGTTTTGAAACCCTTCGTTCAAATTCCCATAAATATCATTCCTCACATTTTGATACTCATTTCCCATACGTTGCTGTTGATCATTGTTTCTATTTCTTCTCAATAGATATGGGGGATTAATATTAGTATTCTGATTAGCATGATTTTCTATCCTCGTTTGTCGAGGCACAACCAATGCATCCCCGATTCGTGACATTTGGTCTGCTAATATCTCAAAGCTAGCAGTAGTGTTTTGCACTAATGGATTTAAGACTGTAGTCAATTGTTGTGATAACATATTCACCATTTCAAAATCACTCTCATCCATTTGTTGTCTAAGTACCCCTAATGAATTACTAGATATTCCGGTACCCATATTTTCGATAGAATCAAAATTAGATCGATGATAGTCTCTATCGAATACATGTCTCCCATGATCTAAGTATCCCCTCTGATCTAGATTTGGAGGTATCTGTTGTGTGCCTATATTCTGTCCATTCCCTGAATTCTGGGGAATTACTAAATTTTGCGACGTCCCTAAATTCGGAGGGATTCCAAAATTTTGTGGCATACCTAGTGTTTGAGACATTCCTAAGTTACCTCTCGGATTCCTATGCGTTGAAGAAGTTCCAACCCCACTCACATTATTAAGTGAAAACCCGGGCGGTCTTACACTCATACGTGGCCCTACATATGTGGTTGTGGGATTTCCTATAGTTTGCATATTATTTGGTATCACCGTACTAGATCCTACTTGGGTGTTTGCTAATGTACCTGAATTTTGTTCACTACTCACAGGTATCGACATGCTCACAGTTGTCGATACTACAGGTGTGTTCCCATTATGACTTTGCCCCCCAGTATTTGGTGGGTGTGATCCATTTAATCCCTCACTGTTACCCTGGTTATTCGATGAACTCTGACTCATGACCCTCCCACTCCTTAATCTCATACAATTTTGAACTAACCAATTTTGTGTTTCTCAACACAAGACACCCCTACCTGGCGCGCCAATTTGTTTCTGGTGGAATTTCGATCGATTTCGATTCTAAGGGTGTTTTGGTCCTAATCAAAATTCTACCACGTAAGTTCTTTTTACTTAGGTTAGCAATTTGATTTTCAATCGAAAACGCGTATGAGAATCGAAAACTACAGGATATCGAAAATGCTGTTTTTGGTGTTTTGTATTTAAAGTATCGAAAGCATTAAGACTATCGAATCGAAAAGCATAATATTAAATTGCGAGGAAATGTAAAGTGCAAAAACCCCAAACTTGCATTAATTGTAAATAGCAAGAAATCGAAAACAACGCAAATGTAAATGACAAGAAATCGAGATTGCAAGAAAAGTAAATGACAAGAAATTGAGATTTGCAGAATGTTAAATAACATGAACATCTAAATGCAGAAACTCAAATTTTCATTGAATTGAAATGGACAAGGAATCGAAAATACAGAAACATAAAATTGCTGAATTTAAGTTGCATCAAAATAAATTACCAAGGAAAATACAGAAAGCGGTAAATGTACTCAGTGAGCAAGGAAATCCAGATTGCCAGAAGCTTCATGGTGTTCGTCGTTTCTCCGGTAGACTTTTCACTACTGATCCTGTTCTCTGCCAATTTCTGCTCCCCCTTCTCTTCCCCTCCTTTGCTCTATTTATAGGGCATCTTTCAAGCCTTCCAAGAGCAGTTAACACGACTGCTACCACGTTCTACGTGCGTATGGCAGTTTATCTTTTATAGTTTCCCACGTTCTCACGATCTCCGACTTTTCCCCATGATTTCAAAACTGCTCTTTATACGTGCCTTCGACTTACTTCCTTTCACGATTTGGCCAAAGTCTCGATGTCCACCTTGGCTTTCTTTACTCTCGATTCTGTATTTTTCGAGAACTTCGAATTGCTTACGATTCCTTTTTAACCTTGGTCTTATATGACTTAGTTTTTTATTCGACAACGGTCATTTGATTATTATTCATTCGATTCTCGATTGTGCTTCTCGATGCTATTACGTGTTTCTAATTAGGCATCAAATGAATTTTTGTTTATCTTATCGAGTCACATTTCTTTCCCTCGATTTCGATCGTTTTTCTTGATTTGCCACTAACACCATGGTAATCCACTTGTATAAAATAAAAGAGGTGTGTATTAGCAAGATGAGAGGGTGTAAATAACTAAAAATCATCAAGTTGATACAAAGTATTGGGCCTTTGTCCAAAACAACAATTTTGTTGGAAGCAGATATTTCTTCTTGCAAAAATACATAGTATCTTTCTGCACCCTAATAATTAAAATAAATATCATTTTATCTTTTATATATATATATATATATATATATATATATATACTTTATTCTCAGATTAGTTCATCTAGAAATGCATTTCAGACTATAACTTATTTTTTAATATTCAACTCGGAATACATTTTTAAAATATTTAATTGAGAGTGTATTTTTAAATTGGGTCAATATTTAATTGAGAGTGTATTTTCAAATTGGGTCTAATAATGTATTCTAAATTAATTATTTTGAAATTCACTTTTAGATCTAGAAATGCATCTCAAATTTAGCCATCTAAATTCTTATATACACTTTCAATTTAATTTTTTCATGAACATTGAAAATAATATTTTGTAACATATATGCAACATTAATAATTTTTAATCTTATGTATTGAAAACTATTTTTAATGAAAGTGAAAAGGCAATAAATCAAAGATTGAGAAATTATGAAGATACAAAAGAGACACGAAGGTATAGAGGAGACAATAGGTAAAGAACTTTTAAGGGTTTCAAACAGAAGTGAATAGAAGGGTATTTTCATCATTATTACATAATTATGGGAATTTAAGAAGAAATTATTGAAATATAAACGGAGGTGCTCTTTTATAATTGAACAAAAATCTTTCTCGATGGACCCCAAGCCCAAGGTCTTTTTTAGAAAAATAATGTCACAGTAAAGTAAATTATTATTATTATTATTATTATTATTATTATTATTATTATTATTATTATTCGACCAGAAAAATTGGTGTCAATAGTTATCTCCTTTTTCAGCTTGTCTTACCTATTTTCTTTCTTTCAAATCGTTGCTCTTGTGTAGGGTTAGTGGGGCAGATTCATAAGTTGTGTCTCCACATTTTTTATAATTTATCTGAATAATTCATGCTCCTCTGTTTTCATTCATTTCACAGGTGTTTTTTCTTTAAGGATATTTTCACTCTGTAGATCATAAGTGACATGTTCATGTTCTTATTATTCACAAGTCACCATTTTTCCTCTCATTTTTTGGCATCTTAGTTGTTATTCTCAAAACATATTCTTCATGTTCCTCTATCATAAGCTGGATCTCTTTTCTAAATAATTATTTAATAAGGGTTTTATTACATAAAATTTAAGAGGGTTGTAAATTAGTTTATTTGCAACTTTATAGTCTATTATTTCATAATTTCTATAATATAAGATTATGTTAATGAAGCATGGAATGTAAAGGTGTGGATAGAATTGGAAAATAAAAAAGAAAGGTATGAGAGACAAACTAATGAGAATAACTGAAGAAGAATCTCACACAGTAACTCTTTTTCCTTTTTAAAAGTTTCAGAAAAAGTTGCGAATTAAACGAAAGAATAAAGGCCACCTATTAAAAGCTGCAATGAACTCCATTAAGAAAAAGGACATCAGAGTAGTAAGCAATTACAATATTTATATATTTTAGTTTCATTTTTAATTAAAGTAAGAAATTTATTTTAACAATATACGTAGATTTGATGCTAAAATTTGAAAACTAAATTTTAGTTCAATTTAAAAGAAAATTTAAATTATTCAAGATAATGAGTATGATGCATAACCTTATTTTAGTATAGAAAAAAATTATCATAATTAAAATTAACTTATGTATAAATTAAACAAAAAATGTATACAATTTTTAATAAATTAAATGTCTAATAAATAAATGTGACATAATTTATATAAAAAAGTTTTTCATAAACCTTTTTAAAGTAAAAGTTAAAAAGAAAAAAAGTGTTTCATAAATTAAAAATAATTTATATATAGATTTAAAATATTTGGTAGAATTAGTTTATATATAAGTTAATTTTGCTTTAAATAAAAACTGATTTCAATTTTTCTTAATAATTTATCTAATCCATGTTATAAGATTAAATACGTCACGCATAAAAAAATAAAATATAAAAATTATATAAAAAAATAATAAATAAAACTATCATTATTTTTATTAGACACCCTATTAACATTCACCATAACAATTTTATTTATCAAAACAAATAAATAATCTAATAAAAGAGAAATATTATCCGGAATACTCTTTTTCTTTTACCAAATATATAAACAATACTTTATTTATCGTTTGAGGAAAATAACATTAGGAATATCTTTTTTATCAGTAGACGTCAAATCATTGAATAAAAAAATACAAATTTTAACTTATATTTCAACTCTAATATTTATTTATTTATTTGTAATAGAGATAATATTATAAAATGATGATAAGAAAAAAAAAGACATAAATTAATAAAATGTGACACCACTATCTTATCTATAACCCCTCTGTCATCCAACAGGAGGAATCTTGAGGCCCACATGGAGAGAAGGAGTGAGCCATGTATGCTTTCATTTGCTCTATAAATCTCCATTACTCCACCCTCTAAGCTCTACTTCAAACCCCTACCTTAACTAATCACCCACCATGAAACCTCACGTTTCTGGTGAAACCTCTTTGGCCAAGGACTCTGCCAGATCCGTGGTGGGAGAGAAGCTCCACCAGCTCTGCAAGGCAATCTCCGCCGATGCCTCCAACCATCGGACTAGGCTTCTCAGTTGCAACCAAAGCTTTACCCTCCAACCAGAAGACCCTATCAGAACCCTAATGTTCTTGGCCTCTTGGACTCTCACATAAACTTCGGAGATAATTTAATATAACAAATCTCGTTATGAACTGTGCCCAAAATTCATTCATCTTCTTACATATCTATATAATACACCGTCTCAGTATATATACATGCAGGGAGTGGCATAAAAATCTTGCAAGTTTTCTTGGCAGCAACCTAAAGACAAAAACGCTGCACAAAAATCTGTATATTTTTGCATGTAATCTGACTTGATCAGACCTGTAAAATTTGTGTATGTTGTAATAATATCCCTTTTTATGTCTTCGCTTACAATGAAGCTTGATGCGTGATTCCTTCTGCCATATATTGGAATTGGAATTGTGTAGCAGTTGATGACAACTTCGAATATATTCCTGAATTTGATTTTCGATAAATTTTGAGTATCAGCGTTAGATATTCGATCTCATCTTTTCAGTTATATATATATATATATATATATATATATATATATATATATATATATATATATATATATATATATATATGTTTTAATATTATATAGGAATATGTTAATTAATAATTTTTTTATAAAATAAATTTAATATATTTATGTCGAAATTAATGAATTCGATTTTTGTGAAGTTAAAAAAAATCTGAACACTGCTACTACTCCTTAATTTGAGATTAAATTATTATGATTAAAAAGTAGAAATAATTTTTAATCGAATATAATTTATTAATGTTTTTAGTAATAGAATTTGCACATCTGTTTTCTTAAACATTTAATTAATAATACATTATGAAATCGATTTAATATCCATATATATATATATATATATATATATATATTTTCTTTTTGAAGTCTCTGTTTCAAAAAATTATTTTCCTTTCTATTTCTTTTGACAAATTTTATATTCACCAAAAATTATTACAAGTGAATATGATGATAATTGATTTTTTTTAATTAAGGTCTAGGATTTAATAAAAATTTATTATTTATTAATTTTTACACGTGTATGATGTGCCTGTGTGATAATATTGCGCAAAACGACATGTCCTCGAGGTGCTTCAATAACAGATCACTACTTCGCGGGTGATAAGAGGGAAAGAAACACTTCTCACCCTTCACCGTACAAATGGCCACCGTGATCGATGGCAAAGCGGTTGCGCAAACCATCCGATCTGAAATCGCCGACGAGGTGCAGCTCCTCTCTCAAAAATACGGCAAGGTAAGCCCTTATTTTCGTTTCTCCAAACAAGAAGCGCGATTTTCCAACATGTAAATATTCGCGATTGTGTATGTTTCTGTGTAATTGTTGCAGGTTCCAGGATTAGCAGTGGTGATAGTAGGGAACAGAAAGGATTCACAAAGCTATGTGGGAATGAAGAGAAAGGCATGCGCTGAATTGGGAATCAAATCCTTCGATGTGGACCTTCCCGAGCAAGTATCCGAAGCTGAACTGATAAAGCAAGTTCATGAGTTGAATGCTAACCCTGATGTACATGGTCGGTGTAAACCCATAGCCTTTTCAATTCATGCATCTGTTATTTTAAGTATTGGTTATACTTTTTGTTTTCGGCCTTTTTTTATGGAAGTTGTTTGTTTATATCCGCAGGTATTTTGGTTCAGCTTCCGTTGCCTAAGCACATAAATGAAGAGAAAGTTCTGACTGAAATTAGCCTTGAGAAGGATGTGGATGGCTTTCATCCTTTGAACATTGGCAAGCTGGCAATGAAGGGTAGAGACCCCCTTTTCCTTCCATGCACTCCCAAGGCAAGATGCTCTTCAATCTGAAACATTTTGGATTACACTCAATTATTATGTCAACAATTGAATGAATTTCGCATGCCTTATTTCTTCCTTTTTAGAGTAGTTTTTTCTTCTTAAAAATCACCAAGAAAGACGATTTTGGAGCTTGTCTACTTAGATTAGAAGAGGGAAAATGCTACTATTATATCAAAATACTTGTTATTTTTTATTTTAAGAAACAAACGAACTCGTCAGTCACTAATGTCTTCCTCTATTTTTTTTTCATTAAGTTAACCTTCTATTTACTGAAATTTATTGGTGTTGGGATTTTTATTTTCAATTTATTTGTCTGGTGCATAATTTCTGCATGCGAGATAGGTTTAGCTATTGTTGTTTGATATAACGATTTTGTCCTTTGTAACTCTGGAGAGGTGATAAACTCGGACCCAGAGTAATGTATGTATGAAAATATTTGAACTCTATTGATCATTTAGAACGAATGAAGTGGATCTATTCTTCATCGTTCCCATTTTATAAGGCTTCTTACACTTGTTACCAAACACTGCGACCTCCCTACAATAAACTTGTGGGAAGGTTGTTCTTTTTTTTTCTTTTTTCTTTTTTTTTGTGTTTGTATTTAAATCTTATTCTGTGACCTCCCTACACTAAACCTATCTTCCACATACTCTCTCAGAGTCTGATTTACATTTTCTGTTTGTACAGGCATGTCTTGAACTATTACATAGAAGTGGTGTAACTATAAAGGGTAAAAATGCAGTTGTGGTTGGTAGAAGCAACATAGTAGGATTACCAGCTTCATTGTTGCTTGTGAAAGCAGATGCTACAGTTACTATTGTACATTCACACACAAGTCAACCAGAAAGTATCATACGTGAAGCAGATATTCTTATTGCAGCAGCAGGACAGCCAAAGATGGTAATTATCAAAATATATTTTCCTTTATCGGCATCTCTATTCTATGTCTTTGTGCAATACTTGTGGAATGTGGAGGTTCAAGTCCTAACCCTTGGAACTTGGAATTCTTATTCTGGGATAACATTAAGTATCAAATAGCTTACTTTAAGTTTCTGTAGTACAACTCCTTGTCCTTGGTACTTATGCAGATCTGTTTGATGTGCATTAACTTTCAAATGCAGCTGACAACTGGTGCTGTTTGATGGTATTTTTTAAACTTAAGTTGATCTTCCTATCATGACATTGTACCATTGGGATAAACAATTTGCACAAAAAGTGCCACAGTTTTTGTAGATTTTCTGTTTCTTCAAGTTATGATCGCCAATCTTTTTATTTGTTTTTCGAAATCTCATAAAGTAGTTAGGCCCATCAATATTCTTCCTAATGGAGAGATCGCTAATGCTTAGTAAAATGCTTATGTTTTTAGATCAAGGGAAGTTGGATCAAACCTGGAGCTGCAGTCATAGATGTTGGCACAAATGCTGTTGATGACCCAACAAGGAAGTCTGGTTACAAGCTTGTTGGAGATGTAGATTTTGAGGAAGCATCTAAAATTGCAGGTTGGATTACTCCTGTTCCCGGTGGTGTAGGTCCAATGACGGTCACAATGTTGCTGAAGAATACTTTGGAGGGAGCCAAGCGCTACATTGAGAAAAATAATTGATCTTTTTTAATTTGAATAAGGTATTTCCTCTTAGTTGAAATTTATTTGAGAATCATTTTTATTCAAAGTTTGGTTTAAGGTAGATGAATGTGTCATTGTATTTTGTAAAATCACAAGGATCGGTTTTCAAAGAGTAGAATTGTTTTTGGCAAAACTATATATTTGCCTTTTCAGTATTTTCCGTTTCGGTGCTTGTTTGTCCCTCTGTCTTATGTTATGTCCCAGCCGTCCGTAAAGCTCAGAAGAAGGATTTGCATAGTGGGTGCTGAGCATATTTTAGTTTCTCGATTAAAAGAACGGTTCCGCATAGCCATTAAGTTGATCAATAATTGTTGCTATATTCATCAATCTTGTTACCATCTTGTAAGGGTCATCTGGGTTACTTAACTCTTACTCTTCCTTTGCTTGCTATCACATATTCAGAGAGATCAATGCATGCATTGATGCATTACCAGATATGGTTCTTCTTTTGATTCAGGGAGCTAGATTTTTTACTTCTCTCCGGATATTCTTGGTCTTCATCTGCTGTACTATGCTGCTAGCACTGTTTTTAGGCGGCAGTTGTTTGTCTCTCTGTTTTGCCTTTTTCTTCCCATCGGAAAATCTTTTAAAGATCGTATATAAGATACATTCTTGCAGTAAACTCCTACTATTCATAATACACTTGCAGTAAAGTTAACCATTTTGGATTAATATGCAACAATGATTTTCATTTGATGTGGCAAAAGCATGACACAACATAACTCACCAGATGCGACTTAAGAACCAAAATTTATGCAATTAATGATCTTGTTACTTAGATACCTTATGCATCTTATGGTAGATTCCAAAATTGTCTCCAACCTCCTCCCATAACTCAAATGAAATATGAAATGCAATTTGTGAATCTGTGGTACTTGAGGAATAAGTGACATTATACATGAGATCTGAATTCAGAGAAGTGGCGTGCAATCTGCAAAGTCATTAGATATATACAGCTGCAAAAGAAAATAAAAGGATGCAAGATTTCCAAGTGTTATGTTGACCTAAAGGCAAAGTACCTTTCTTATACCATAATTTATAGATTAATAATTTTGCCTTGTCTGTTTAATTTCTCATCATCATTTACCCCTGATCTCAACCCTAGATACAGCATAAAGATCTAGTTTTCAACATGTCGTACACATTCTTGTTTGCATTGTAATATACTGACTTCCGTAAATTATCTTTGAAAAATGTGTAACATTGGAAAGATCGCATTATTAACGTGAAAACATAAAAACCAACTATTAAGGTCGGGTTGTCGTGAAAAGTCATGTTTCAATCCATTTTACAAAAAAATTGCTATTCCAGTGCTTCCACAATCCGGCGGTTCTTACAATTATTACTCTAAGAATTCAGAATAAAGTGTCATAAGTTTGTGGATTTACTAAATCTAATAACTCATTTGAACATTGGCAGTTGGAGATTAAACCGTCTTTAAGAAAGCAACGTGCTATCTGAATTTGGAACCATTAACAATCATGGATTATATGAAATCCTAGATCTTTAATTATCCACAAGGAAATAATTAAATATAGTATGCATAATTATCCACCAGGAGAATAATTAGTGTCTATTTTTATATGAAATTCTATATTAGTGTCTATAATATAGTAATCAACTTGGAGATTGCTTGGTAGGAGGCTGTTTCTGTTATGCTATATTATATGGGCCGACTATACATCCACTTTATCAATTCTGTTATCTTATTTAATTGGTAAAGTTAAGCATTTTTTTCTAATTATGTTAAATATCACTTACACTTTTTCTTTTTAATTTTAAAATAGGCATCTATTTTTCTTAAACTGTTATTAAAATATCAATTACACATTCATCTTTCTTATATTTTTTTAATAAAGTAATAGTTGTATTGTTTATGTTTTTAATAAATTGTAAGTCACTTCTTTTATTTTATTTGAAATAATATATTGATTAGTTTTAAGTAAAATTTTGAAAATTTAAAATTAAAGTTTTGAAATATAAAAGTTACAGATTTTTATATAAATAAATAATTTAATTATGTAAAATTATATTTATTTGTACAATAAAATTAATTTTATATCAAACCTATCACTAAATAAAATTAACTTAGACATAGAAAATTTGAGCAGTTTACAGAGATTTTGATATTCAATTTTGGCAGTTCTAAAAAAAAGGAAGAAAGGATACCAAATATGTGAGTGAGGTGAAACGACTCGTTTATAATCAAAATCAGGGAGCTCTGTATCATAAGATCCTATGCGTCCGTTTTTATGATTGGCCAGAGCTGAGGGTTCAGATATTGACATGATTGGATAACATGTTAATAGCAATAACACTAAAAGAAAACAAGTGATGAAACTTGGCAATGGCTGTGGTTGCAGTGCAGCAATTCGTGTGCTTCTCGGAATCAAATTGGAGGAATATAACACGGCCGTGCATTCCCTCTCACAGTACAATTCTTCTACGTTCAAGCAAAAAAAATCATTTTTCTCTGATTTCATGCTCTTCATCACAGACCCCAGAAGCTGATACTCAGACCGCTGAATCTTGCGTCAATTTGGGTCTCGAGCTCTTCTCCAAAGGACGGGTATTACTAATTATTATCAACTTACAAATTTTTCTTCCACTCTCCTCCTTATTCTTCCATAGCAGAATGATGCAGTTTAAGTGGGGCCTTAAAAGTTCTTTCCTTTATCTTAATTGATTTTTTCAGGTTAAAGATGCTTTAACCCAGTTCGAAAGTGCACTTTCCTTGGGCCCTAATCCAGTGGAGGCCCAAGCTGCGTTCTACAACAAAGCTTGCTGCCATGCATACAGGTATTATATTTTGTTTATAATGATTACACAATGTTTAGTTGGTAATTGGTGATTTCATTGGTTTAGTAGAATTTGTTGGTGATGCTAGATGGTAGTAATTCTTATTCAATCAGATTGAATCCACTACTTGAGTCATGGGATGGGACTTGTATGTTATGAAACGGTAAGGCATGGTATCTTCTTTCCATCACTTGATGTCCTTGGCGAGTTTTAATTCCTAATCCTGGCGAGTTCCTATGCTTTTAGTAACGAGATGACTTAGCTAGTGCTCATCTCTAGAATTGTTGAATTTCTTCCGTTCATTGCATTTTCTCGATGTAATATATCATATGAAAAACACCAAGCTATTTATATAGGGCATTGGTTAGCTAATACTTCTATTTTTATCTTTACATTATAATTCAGATGTTATTTGGTTATTATTTTCTTGAAGGGGAGAAGGAAAGAAAGCAGCTGATTGTCTCCGCACTGCTTTGAGGGAATACAACCTGAAATTTGGTACCATACTCAATGATCCCGACTTGGCATCCTTCAGAGCATTGCCTGAATTCAAGGAACTACAAGAAGAGGTTTCTATTTAGTTCTCAAGGATTTTTGTAATGCTAAGTTGTCTGATATTTGTCTGCTTTATTATAGTTGTTAATGACCGACTTTCGAAAAAGTTTAAGGAGTTAAATGAAGGTTCATGAATGGCTAAATATATATCTCTAATGGTGTTTCTCTGAATATTGTTTTATTCTGTAAAACCATTGATAAAACAAATTCTTTGCTTCTTATGTTTCCTCCTTTGCCTCTATTGCTACTGTTGAGACAGCTTAAAAATATGAAAGGATATCTGTGAGAGGGATAATATGATAGTCAGGAGGGAAATTCATTTGAAAGGAACTTATGTTCCTCAATATAATTCTGTCTAATTGAATGTTATTTATTTGAAGGTTCTAACATTGATTCCAATTACTGTTCTACCACATTACCAGGCTAGGCTTGGTGGGGAAGATATTGGTTACAGTTTTCGGCGAGATCTAAAACTTATTAGTGAAGTTCAAGCACCATTTCGTGGGGTTAGGAGGTTCTTTTATGTAGCACTGTCAGCAGCTGCAGGAATATCATTGTTTTTTACTGTGCCAAGGCTAATTCGTGCAATTATTGGTGGTGATGGTGCTCCTGATCTCTTGGCTACTTCTGGGAATGCTGCCATCAATATTGGAGGTGAATAGTAATATGTTTAACTTCCTAAAAAACAATTCTGGATCAATTTATACTTACTAAATTTAGTCTGTTACTCTTCTTTATCTCTTTGTGTGCTTGTGTGTGTTTGTTTTCTTTCAAGATAATTGGGTGGTGTGATGATACCTTTTACATTGCTTCATTAAATGACTAAGCACTTGAATCAGCAATGTGCAGGTATTGTTGTTCTTGTGGCATTATTCTTTTGGGACAATAAAAAAGAGGAGGAACAACTTGCACAAATATCTCGAGATGAGACACTATCAAGGCTGCCTTTGCGGCTTTCAACTAATCGTGTGGTTGAACTTGTGCAGCTACGGAATATAGTTCGACCGGTTAGTATCTATGTTCTTTTTACTTCTCTCTCTAGTCTCTACTACATGTTGGACTTTTTCTTTTTGCTTTAGTAGATACTGGTTTATTTTTATCTCGTTTTCTTCTGTTTTTCTTTCATTTCTAGGAAGAGGGGGTTCTTACAGTGACTGAAATATTTCCTGTGCTAGGTTTTGAAGCATAGAAAATAAGGGTGGGCAGATGCTTCACTATATGTCTATCTTCAACACAAGATAACAAAAAAATTAAAATTTTCTGTATACATACAAAGATAAACACAAGATAATTAATTTTGAACATATTTACTTGTTGAAATTATCACAAGCATGCTGCAAATAAAGTGATTATTACCTTATGTATTATGATATTAAGACATTTCGAACAAAATGAAAGTCATACACACTCATGGGACATTTATGAGGGAGGAAGAGCTTTATCAAAATTCTTCAGTTATATGATTTGAAAAATCTCTCACTGTGTTGAGGTTGTCTTTTATAGGAAAAATGTACAATATAATGATAGAAAAAACTAAAACTTTTAATAAATCTTTTATTACTGATGGTATTTTGGCTGGCTCAAATCTCAACCTGTGAGTTATAATTTTTCTTTTATATATTTCAGATGCAATATTGCACTTGTTGACATGTAAAATTACCTTACATGCTGCCCTACATATATAATGACTATCGGAATCATGAACATATGGAACCGTAAATATACGAAGTTATTTAGCCATCCAATAATAGTCAATCTCTGTCATTGCAAACTAACTATTTAAATTTCTAAATATTAGTAGCTTTCTGAGAAATAAATAATTATGATGATTATTCGGAATTTATTGGAGATACAAACTTGTCAGTATTTCTTTTGCCGTTGTTTATCTTGTTTGGAGTTCATTTTTTTTCCCAAGTTACGATAATATCAATCACTTTTACCATCCATTGACATTAACTACTTTCTTTATAATACTGGGCTTCCGAAGTGGTACTTGAATCTAGAAATTCAAATGTAAATGAGAGGCAATGATAACATGTAATTGATCTCACAATATTTAACATATTTGTGGCATTAAGGGTTTGAATTCACTTCTCCCATATATCTCCTTGCTGTAATTATGCCCGGCACTAATCATTATAGTTCAGTGACTGACTAATACGATTGTCAAGTCATGACTATTCGCTCTTTCTCTTTTGCAAGCTATACTGTTTTCTCTTATTATTGTCCTTTTCCTTTTCAAGATGAATCTTTCATGTTCTAACTGAAGCTTTGGTTTTAGGTTATATTAGCAGGAAAAAAGGAAACAGTGTCTTTGGCTATGCAAAGAGCCGAGAGATTTCGCACGGAGCTCCTTAGACGCGGTGTTCTGTTAGTTCCTGTCATCTGGGGAGAAGGTCGGGAAACAAAAATTGAGAAGAAAGGATTTGGTCTGCAGCCAAAAGCTGCTGAAGCTCTTCCATCTATTGGGGTAAGAATATAACCGTATGTACCTTCATGAACAGTCATCCAAATTTTTTTTTCTTTGATGAGATGACACTAATCCATAAAACTTCGCTAGGAAGATTTTGAGAAGCGAGCACAGTCAGTAACTGCAAAATCGAAGTTGAAATCTGAAATTAGGTTCAAGGCTGAGGTTTTGTCGCCTGCTGAATGGGAACGGTAATATGCTGATTTATAGTCTATTACTAGCTATCATTGTAACACAGTTTTTCATTAAATGAGGGGATGAAACTAGCATCTACATAGATGTCAAAGGGTGGATAGATTGATGTCAACTAAAATGTGATGTAGAAAGTGGAGAGAGGGAAAGAGAAGTGGTGCTAATAGTTGAATGCTAACTTAACTAGGTGGATAAGAGATCAGCAGAAGTCCGAAGGAGTTTCACTTGGTGAAGATGTGTACATAATACTGCGCTTAGATGGAAGAGTTCGAAGATCAGGGAAAGTAAGTTCCATTTCAGAGTAAACTTGTAAAGCTTTTCTTCACATTGTTGTAGAATTTTCATTTATTAGTTTGCTAGATGTCATGAAAAACTGAGCATGGTTAGAATTGATTCACTACCTCTGATTGCAGTACCGTTTCTCATGCCTGCCACTATCAGTAACATACTAATACGTGCTAATGCATTTACAGGGCATGCCTGATTGGCAGCAAATTGTGCAGGAGCTACCACCAATGGAAGCATTTTTAAGCAAGCTAGAAAGATGAGAATTTAGAGGGTGCAAATTTGTGTTATTCTTTTTCCTGTCTCATGTGTCACTATAATCCTGGTATTACTGTCCCACAGCAATATCTTTCTTTATTAAACTAAACATTGTACATCCATTCCTCCACGATCGCTACAGACAATTGCAAAGTAAATGTTACGAAGAAATATTAATATTGATAAAATATTTTGGTGACAGATTAATCCTGTAGTTTATTCGTAAAAGAGAAAAAGTGCTGTACTTGAGTGAAGTTGTGTAATTTTAGATCACACATAATACAGATTGACAAGTAATGCATCTGAATTTATCTGCAGCTAGTTAAGCTAGTTAATAATCATGGGAAAGTAACAATTTCAGCTGCTAAGGTGTGATTTTTATATTTATTAATAGTCTTAAAATAATTCAATAGTTTGTATAACTATTTGGTGTATATGTGAACAGGTTGGGTCAAGTTGAATTTATTTTTTTATTCAATTTAAATTAGGTTTGCTTGGATTAAATAGTATGTATTGGACTAAGAATATTAACATTAGTTGAGGTTATTTGAATTTTTATTCAATTTAAATTGAAAAAATCAATCCCAACTTGGTGCAGATAATAGATCAATGTCAGATTTTTGAGTCATTGATGAATCTAATTGATCAAATCTGCATTAAAAGATATATATATATATATATATATATATATATATATATATATATATATATATATATATATATATATATATATATATATGCCTAACACAAAATCTACTCTAATTTTACAATTTTATAATAAAGAACTAATATATGAAATAAGAACTAAAGTTTAAGATAATGTGAATTATTTCACAAGTATATATAGTATATATAACCTTTCTCCCTTCCAGTAATCCAACTTAAGTCAGATAAACTTATTTAAAGGAGGTAAAGTTCCAAAATTTACACGGTTTGCTAGTAAATCACTCCAAGATTTTATTTAAGGAGAATCAAGCTTTTCTTACTTGAATCAACTTTAGCTGATGTGCAATTTGTAGTAATTTATTTTTAAAGTACTTTTCAAAATCTTCAGATTTTTTTTTACGACAAAATATTCTTCAAAAATAATAAATTTCCACACAGGTAAAGCAACCATCGGTTACACACTCATTTGATTTAGAAACGAGTGATTAATGGCAACTGTGTGGAATATTCGAGATTTTGCTATTGATGTTTGTCTGTTAGGATAAGCAAGATTGCTTGCTTTCAGAAGAAGCTGTTTTCCAGTGTTAATTAGCCGACGGACTTTGGCAGGTAAAATGACTTATAGTGGCCTATCGTGAGCATTATTATTTCAAACCCAACATCAATTTTTAAGGCCTCAGACTCCACAAAACATTGAATTAGCCATCTGCGTAATCCATACATCTTAGCCCCAATACTAGACATTTCAAAGTTAATTAGTTAATGCTTTGAATCTAAACCTCGTAGCATTGATGCCCTTCATTCTTAATATCATTTTCTTGGTAGGTTTTGAATGGTTTATTCATCGTGTACCCAACTTTCTTCTTAGCAATTGAAACACTTTTGAAATTCAAAATCACTAGAAGTTTATAAACTGAGCTCAAATTTTCTTCATTTGTGGATACTAGGTTATTATTACTACCATATATTATTCTAACACTGATTAATCTGGTGAAAAGAAAAAAGTGACATTTAATAGTCCCTTGTTATAAAACTGAAATCCTTCCAAAACAAGTTTACCCGCTCCTACTCTCCTGTAAGCTTCTATAAAAGGATAGAATTGAAAGAATGAAACACTTGAAACTCTAGAGAAGAATAAGAGCATCATCTTCTTCACTTCAAAACAATGTCAAGTGCTTTTTTTCTCTTGGCCTTGTTCTTGGTGGCTATGTCCATTTTTCCCTCCATAGTGGGAGCAATAGGTGAGCACCGTCTAAGGTGGGTGCCTAAGTCAACAACACCTTGCCAAGGCTCCATAGAAGAGTGCATGGAAGAGGGTGAGTTTGGAATGGACTCAGAGTCCCACCGGCGCATTCTAGCAACCTCACAGTATATAAGCTACAAGGCGCTTCAACGTAACACTGTGCCATGCTCTAGGAGGGGTGCTTCCTACTACAACTGCAAGCCTGGTGCAGATGCTAATCCTTACACTCGTGGCTGCCCCACCATCACCCGTTGCCGTAATTCTTAGAATAGTAACAACTTTCAGCATGTTTGAGTTAATGTTCTTCAGACTCAATTATGTTTGCATAAGGGTTGCTGTAATGACTGTCACAGCATTTGAAAGCAACTCAAACATGCACTTTCTTTCATTTCCTACTCCTCTGCCTTCAAGTTATGATCATCAGGCTTGTTATGTTTTACTTTGAATACTGTTTTCTTCTCTGTTTATGTCATTTCATGTAAATTAATCTTCGTTGGTGTGGCTATTGTAAATATTTTTGTGTTAATTTACTTGCTTACTCCACCTCAGATAAAGAGTGCTAGAAACATGCTTATCATGTAGAATGTTTGCATTCATAATTAAACATAAGTTATGAGGTGTTTAACCAATAAAAAAAGTCGCCACTTCAGACGGTGCTGGGTTTTAAATACAGATTTGCAGATCTCAAAATCTTTATATTTGTTTTAAATGAACATAATCAGCTAGGTCACTATCGGGAACTGTAAGTTCGTGTCAACTTTGCCAATCAATAAAATTTTTGAACATTACTCTAATTATCTAGCACTTTTATACTTTGCTTTATTAGTTACATACTGAACATTGCTAGTAGTTTTTGATGTCATGAATCTATCTCAACTCTTCTTTCAAGAATTCAGAAATAAACAAGATTAACCAATTGCTAGTAGTTCTTGCATTTACATTATCAACCAATTAAAACTCACGTTAAGTATAATTTTTAAACAATAATTTTAAAACACACAAATTTTATTATGCATGACAATTTATGCCATGACAGTATAAATTACACTTATTCTTAAATATATCTACTTTATTTTGATCTGAAATAAAAAAATAATCAGCTTTAGTGGCTAAGACTATTTTTCTTACGGGCACCGTATTGGATCCTTCTTCATGAGACTGGGATGTAAGTCAAACTTCATAGAGCACTACTACAGCAAAATAAAATGGGGCAGGACAAAGGAGGGAAATAAAGTAATAGAGCAATTTAAAGGATAGGAAATATCCTCCTCAAACATATAGAACCCAATCTAGCATATTCCAATTAGAAAAACACAAGAAATCAACACTACTGTAGTTTTACGTTTTTTACATAGTTAGAACAGTAAGTTTAGCTACCAGAGAGAAAAGTTCACTAGATACACGGTAACCACATCCTGAATTATCACAAAATCGAAAATAAAGCAAGGCAGTTGAACACGAAACGTTACTCATGCAGAACCTTCTTCTTTGTTCGACTCTTCTTCCTTTGGCTTAGCAGGGGAAGCAGGGATCTCAGGTGATGGAGTGCTCTCCACTCCCATCTCTGCTCTTAGATCATTGATGCTTTGTTCCAAATCATTTATACGGTTTCCCATCTCATCAAGTGCATTGACATTAAGAAAAACATAACCTAAGCAATTTGAATAATGGGCAAGTCAGCAATAATTACTATGTAAGGTAAATTAGCATCCTTGCCCATCCTGACTTAGCCAACATATATATTACACCACTCAATCACAAATGTACATACATTAAACAAAGTCACGTCGCAAATTGTACACATTCTTCAGTTTATGAAAAACAGAATTATGCAGAGTGAAGAAATGATTTACCACCTGTGCTGTGTATTATGCCTACGAATTATAAAGACCAATTCAAAACACAAACATTTCAAGGATTTAAACACCACATAACAAAACTTTGAAACTCCCATTTAATTCCTTAATCAAATCTTCAAAAGCATCCCTTGCAAGCTTGTCCATAAAGAATGTAAGTCAGCAACATGACACCACCTAAGATCAATTCTTATCTGTCCACTTTTAATCATCTTATTTCTGGGAAAAACCACTATCATGAATTACTTTTCTGACATTAATTCCCTTAAAACTTATTATTCAAGATTAACATACTTATTAACTTGAAGAGTAAAAAGGATATTCTTGGTAATGATGGAGTCAGACATTGTCTGGAACCTAGTTTGCTGGAAACAAAAATTCTTGTTAGGAGCAGTGAAATATATACACTGAAAATCAGCATTGGAGGACTACGAGCCTAGAGTACACAACTCACCATCTGCTGAAGAAGTTTTTGCACCTGAAGAGAGAAAAAGAAGAAACACAGGTCAAAAGTTAACATACAAAAGAGCAACGAATTACATATTCCCACTCTCATCGTGGACTCTGGTACAAATAGATCAGCAGAAACGGTTCTAAACATTGAAATAGTGATTTAAAATCTTTCTCAAATGTTACCATCTAGACTAACAACCAGTTACTAGCATAATTGGCATTCACATAAACAGATGCAAATGAAACAGAGAACAAAACCATTAACTCTTGATGATGATGCTTAACAACTTACAAAAACTGTCATATCAGCAGTGCTTTGCTTTGGATCTTCGGAATCATGTCCGTCCTGTCATCAAAAGGGAAAGTACCAATGAAAAGGGAAGCATAACACAAGTAAACTAAAATTGAAATGGCATTTAACCATGCAATGCAATAGGCTGCAATATATCCATACCAGTACCACAAAAGATCCCTAAATAAGCCATAGAAACTGAATCGGTTAATGGAACTCTAAATAATCGAGGAAAAGAAATGTCTGCAAGGCTTAACGGGCGCGTTAGACCCAGTTCATTTGATATAGAAAACCCTAATTGCTTAAATACTAAAATTGATACTCGTGTATGATAACACTTGGAGACGAAAGCCAAGCTACGAATAGGAATGATGATAATAATAGAGGGAAATTACGAAGAGAGAGCCTAACCATTCTCTGATCACCGTTGCACTTGCAACTCCTTCAATTACTTTCAAAGCCTAAAACGCAATCAAACAAGGGCAAACTTATACTCGCCGCGACAACTATATTGTTCATTGCTTACTGAACTACACACTATACAGTGAAAGCACTTCCTCTTCGAAAAGGAAAAATGATATTTGAGACAGTTATTTTAAAAATTATATCTAAAACCATTTATATTTTTTATTTTTTAGAATGACATTTATAAATTATTCTCTTTTTAATTTCTCTTTAGAAACAGTCAGCCTTCCCTTGTTTTGAATTTATTTACTAATAAATGAAGCTGCTTATCTACAATATTTTACTATAAAAATAAAACACCCCTTTACCGTTCAATTAAATTTTAGCCATGTATGTCAAAATTGAGGAGTCACCTTATTGCTTAGTCATTTGCAATGCCGTTTCATTCCATTCTTGTTAAGTTACGTGATTATGAGCGAACGACTAAGGGCTCCGGGAAAAGGTTACTTCAGTATTAATATTTCTAAGATTATAAGAACAAAAATACGTCTTTCTAAATACAAAAGATTATGAAAGAATGGTAATTGTTACTTATCAAGCATAATTTAGGGGGAGAATCACACAAACGTGACTACACTTTAAGTGAAAGTGTAGGTAAATCTTTCTCGATATGTAACCAATAAATTTAGCGATGTTAGTTATCCAATATCAACCCAATTTTTTCCTCAACATTAAACCATTTATGCTATTAAATGTCAGTAATTCCCTTTAAAATACACACATCACTTACTGAGTAAGTGCAAAATTTTCGAAGTGAGCAACGGAATTGGAAAAAAATAACTTTAAAAACATGGCCATATCAAAGGAACTCTGGCTCCTATACTCTGTTCTACATCCAAGTTACATCACAAACATTTGTCCACTTCATCCACCTTTATCCTCCACAAAATAGAGGGAGAGGAACCTTTGAACGTCTATTTGTTTTTACGAGAGGATGGCCTATTTTGTTCATAAGGATACTCGGGTGGAGCAGACCATAAACCCCAGAGAATAATTAAGTGAAGGCAGAGAAGTAACGCTGAAGAAAGGCTGTTCGAAGGATAGATATTCCAGCACAGCTCCACTCCCATGAACAAAATCAAACTGCTTGTGCACATGCCATATAAAGAAATAGATTAATTATGAATTCAAAACAAAATAAAATCGTTAAAAAAATTAAGCGAAAGCATAGGAAGTGGGTTAACCTACCGCAACAATGTTGGGTAGTGCGTTCTCCACAACAAGTAAGGTAAACTATAGAAGTACCTGTACCATAAGCCAAATAGCAAGAATTAGCACCAGGGTTTTTTAGAGTACAAAACTACAAACAGAAATAACTATTTTATTGTGTCATAATACCTGTCTACCAGGATTAGTTAAAGAAGATTGAACCCAAAGAAGGTAAATAATTTATGACAAAATATGATAGTTTATAAGAGGATTAGCAATTGGCCATCAATGGGAAACGTTGGTTTACCCATGACACACATCTACAAGAAGGACAACACTAAATGGAATATCACCACAGATGGAAACTGTGAGGAAAAGCTGGCCAACAAATTTAAATCAAAAGCTAATTTCTATTTATTCACCAAAAGAAAATAGCCAAGAACAACACAGTCATCTGACATCTAATAGATGGCGATGAGTGAAAAAGTATTTCTAAATAAGAATGTCCTCACTATAATAGAAACATGGAGCACATGGATCATAAATGCATCTTCCATCATCTTAATAAACTAAGCAGGTGTTTTTTTTTTCTTCCTTAAACTATTTTATGAGTAAAAATAAATTAAGCAGAGAGCTAGTAGTTGTATCACTAACAGAAACCCAGCAGACTTACCAAGAATAGAACTGATAATGCAATGACCGAGCACATACAATGCCAATGAAGTTCCCAACAAACATAGTTGTCACAATATCTGAGCAAAAGTCAAAAGTTAGTATCACTTATCACGAAAAGAGGAATTAATATGCTTAAATCCTATAAGAGACTGATTACTTACGTTCTTTATTAAGGATCTGAAGGGATGATGAACTGCTCTTGCCAACCTTCTGAGAAAATGAGGAAGAGAAGAAAATTGCAAACCTCATTCTCATAAAGACATATCTGGAATGCAGAAAGTTGCAAAGTCCTCCTTCATGTCTGCAAGCAACTAAATAAGTGAAAATGTAATCCAGCTGGATCAATATGTCCATGGGCATGGACAATTATAAACATTGGTCACACCACCACCATTAATGACAACAACAAAAGTCAATCCCCCCTAGGTGGGACTCACTTTATAGATCAAACAATGCCATTGTGAAATGTCTTAGATCCAAGTCCATTTTATTTTAAACTATCCTCTATCTAATCAACTCTACTCATTTGAGTTGGTCTTCTTCCAACACGCCCAAACCATCTTAGACACATTTCTACCATCTACTCATCATCACAGCATTCTAATCTCTACATGTCCAACATTTGGTACCATAAAATAAAAGCATTGTTGGTTCTCATTATTTATTGGTAAGAACTTATTAAATCTATAAATTGGCATGATAAATTAAGTTTTCTTTTCTAATTAAAATATAAAAATTGGTTAATAGCAAAAAAGCTAACGTAAGGAGTCAATATGTACATTTTGAACTTAATAGATGATGCATGCTAGAATAAACTGAAAATTTATGCATGTGCAGAAAGCTTACGTAAGGAGTCAATATGTACACTTTGAAGTTCAAGAAGTGTTACTGAGTTTAAACCAAGGAGGGCTTTTCAGTAATTAACCTATAGTTGAAGTGGGTTCATAGTATTTTCAACATTGAAAAAAAAAATACAAAAAAAACCGAAAAACTTTTATACCTACTTGCACCAACTATAATGCGCAAATGAAGCAAGTAATATGAGGTGAGCTGCCAACAAAAAGATTGCAAATCCCTTGGACACAAATACTGGCTCAGGGATGAATTTGAAGTTAACAGACCTGATAACATATATTGAAATAATACATCAGGAAACATCTAGCTGAACCTACGCAAGAAAAGGTAAAATACAGTTTCTCAAAATTAAAGGTACCACAAACTCAAATATATCAACTTCAAGATACTACTCTAATCCCCTTTGAATTGAAATGAAGCATGCGTCTCAATTAAGTTAAATGGTACGTATATGTAATGTGTGTATTACATGATCATTCACTGGGAAATAACCCAGCTCTGAATTGCCAAATCCACCACCCTGTATTCCCAACTCATGATCAAGAATAGAAGGAATTGATAGGTTGTGCCTCTAAAAAACACTTTTCACATTGTTTTTCTCTTCAATAAAAAATATTTGAATAAACCTTTATCTCACGGCAAGTCCACAGTCCTCTGATTCCTATGTAACTTTTATCTCTTATTTTCTTCTCCAAGTTTGGAATCATTCTAAGTCCTCTTTGCCATTAACAGGTCAATAAGATCCACTGGACCTCTTCTTATTACCTGCTAAATTAGCTTTCGACCAGGTTTTCACAAGGGAGTAGCGTGTATTGCTCACAGAGAAGCAAATGACTTTTCACTTAGGTCAAAACGTTAAGGAAGGTTTTAGTGTAACGTTTTAAACTTCCCGTTTTTATTGGGAATCCCTTAACCAATAAAGAACAATAATATATAAATGAGCACATGGTTGAATACAGGTATTATCACATGAATATATCAAAGCTATAGAAATAGGCGTGCAGCATCATAAAAAAGAGTTTATCAGCTATATTTCACAATCTAACACGTGAAAATTTTAGGCACTTGTCACAAGTTCAATCTGAAAAAAATCTGTATCTCCGATCACCCCCCATATCAGATACCATACCTTCCGCAGCTTATTAGTTTATGTATTATTGCATCAAAACACACCTATCTAATTATGTTCCTTAGTGCCAGAATGTCGCAGATGATCCTTACATAAAATAAACTTTAGATACTCTTATTTGCAATCTTTCCCTTCTCTCAATCATCATCACTCTTTGACCACAGAAAAAAAGGGTTTCAGATCATATAAAAAGCTAAATTTGTTTCCGGAGTTCATGGTTATCATATCAAGCATACATCAAATGGCACACTTAAAAAATAAGTACCAGAAATGGATGAAGACACGGCCAAGATTGAAGGCGCTTGATATGTACGCAAGTGGATATGAAACCAGGAATGGAAGGCCCACTAATATCTGCGGTAGTCGTTAACCATGACGTTACCAAAATTGAACATGGCACACTCTAGAGGATCAAGCAATCTTGAGGCCCGAGAAGAGAAACTCACCTGATATTATGGAAAGATTATTTTAAACAAAAAATAGCCAACCATCAGACACCAGAAGATTTGTGACAGCATTTCGTATGATGAAAATAACAACGAGTGCAATTTTTTGTCTCACAATTTACAAAGGAAAATGAATGCAAGGGACCTGAACGACTGCTGCCCCAGCTAATGCCAATAACACGCCGTTGATATCCATAGCCTGCATGCGCGTGAGGAAAAGCAGGCTACATGAGCATTGCCATGTAAGGAGACAATGAAAAAGATCGCAACAAACCCTACTATAAATATTGCATGTATGGAAGTACCTTCAACAGGAGGAGCAGTAAAGGTGGAGCATAAAGAAGCACATTCATCTTGACAGAAACAGCTCCACTAACAGGTAATTACCAGAAGCCCCATCACCATTTCATCCTTGTAACAAAAAAGGAGATAATTCTAAAAATAGAGCCTTTACCTAAACACAATCAACCCAAGATTCCACCTTCGATGCACAAGTAAGAGCAATGCAGCATGAAGAAGTGTCATGGCCACACAGTCATTAAACAGACGAAGGACGAAGATAGAATGAACTCTTTTGGACAGAGAAAGTAAGCACAGGGCCCACCAAGGAACCTGATCGAAATTTCAATTTCCAAACACAATGAGAATTAACATCAACAATTAATCAGAAGAAAACAATATTCTTACCACATCGGTTTTGACAAAGATGGCGAGAACAATTGCTAAGTTAATGACATACAACACACCGAACAGAATCTGCAACAAGAAAAGAGAAAGACATGATAACACAACACATTATTTACTTGCTTTGTTAAAATCTAAGTAGAATGATGAATGCGTGACCTGAGCAGGGTAAACTTGTCCTTGGGTAAGATACTGAAATGCAGAGTAAATGTAGAGAAATCCAGCCGGGTAGACGAGAGGACCAGTGTCGCCTTTGAGGTTGCGGAAGTCTCTCTCCCCTTGGAGAAACCCGCTAACCTGTGACATGTAAGCATCCCAATCTATCTTCGTATCTGAAATTATTAAACGCCATCGTATATCAATTGCGTTGAATTGAACTTTTGAAGGAGAGGATGTGGAATTGAAACTTACAAGGGACAAACGCGATTATGAGAATGACGAGGAGGGCGTCGGCGAAGAGAAGAGCGAGTGCGAAGGGTATCTTGGGGTTTTGTAGTAAAGTGGTTTTTCCTTCCGATCTCGGAGGAGATGGCGACGGCGTCACCGATTCAACGGCCATGGTTTCTCTGCTTTTCAATCTTCTGCCTCCCATCTCACGTGGCAGTTCAAACTCTTTTCTTCTTCTATTCAATTTTGGTTTCTGGGCTTCATCTCATGGGCCATCCAAAGTGTCTCGCTGACCAAAAACCCAAAATAGTGAAATAGTCCAAGAAAATCTCCCTACCTTTTTATTCTAATTTCTTGAGATATTTTTTTTATGTACAATATATTATTAAATAAATTAGTTTAATTAATTATATAACAGGTGTTGGTGTGGCAATAGGATAGAAACTACTGCTGAAGTCAGTTCCTTCCTGAATAGGGCACGTGGAGTATCGAAGTGCTTCCACGTATCCAAAGGGACCCACATATTCCCTCTCATGCACACGCGCCTAAACCTCTCCAACTACTCCGTCACATCTATCCACGTGTCACTCGCCACCACATAATCCACCCCCACTCCTTTAAAACCATCACCAACCTCCCTCTCTTCGCCACCCTCTCTTCTCTTTCGTCACTCTTCCACCATGTCTTCCAGTGACCTCAAACATCGACTCACACCCCTTCCAGACACCTCCATCAACGATAAGCGGGGCATTGGAGGGAAACGCGACAAACGAAAGGTGATGGCCAAACGCGGCCTAAGGTCGCTGGCCATAGCTGTTACCTTCCCCCTCTCTCTCACCGTCTTATCGGCATGCATAGGCTCCTCCACTGCCCGTGATGATTCTCTGACTTCCAGAAGGCCTTTCTGGTTCCCACCCTCGTGGGCCCTGCACTTCGCCTCCCCCGCTACAAGCTTCTTGATGGGTCTGGCCGCGTGGATGGTGTGGGCAGATGGAGGTTTCCACAGAAACCCCATTGCGCTGTTGCTTTACTTCGCTCAGCTACTTTTCGCCGTGCTCTGGGATCCCCTTGTGTTCGCTGCTGGGGCTACACGGCTCGGCTTGATGCTGTGTTTAGGGTTGTTTGTGAGCCAGTTCGGGTGCATGCGTGCGTTTCGCTCCGTCAATCCCATCGCTGCTGATTTGATAAAGCCTTGTTTGGCATGGGTTGCATTTCTGTCTGTTGTAAATCTTAAGCTCCTTTTTGTCTGAACCTATAATTAATATATATATATATATATATATATATATATATATATATATATATATATATATATATATATATATAATGTGTGGGTGGAATGAAGCTAAAGTCTTGAACAGTGTTAAGTGTGGTTCTGTAAACATTTGCCTCAGTCATCTACTAGACACGATTGTTGTAAATAACATATTATAGTCCATTTTCTTTCTTTTTTTTAAGCTTGTACAACGTTTATGCTCTTTTATGTTGTTAGAATATAATTGGAACGTGCTATATTTGAGAACCTGTAGTTTTTGTCTTTTTCAAATTTTGTTTTTCCTTTTAGTGAGTTACGATATACACATAATGTGTCTATAAACGTTTTAGTAGCTCAATTTATTTGAATGGCTGTTTTTTAAATAAAATAAATCTATTTAGTAATTTAGTTTATTTTGATATCTAATTTGGGCATAGTTCTCCATCCATGATTACATTTTATTTAGAAAAAAAAAACGAAAATATTATTTAAGAAAGAAAATAAATTAAAAAAAATATATTTAAATATTTAAAATTTATATTAAAAAATTATGTCAGAAAACTTCAACAATTCGCTTTATTCCGATTTATTTTTAATTTTAGTTTAACATTTATTAAATAATTCATTTCATTACTTCAATTTTTTTTATAAAATAATAAAGTCATTTCATTACTTCTATCCAAAATATACCTTTAGTAGCATTTCAGCTTAAAATCTACTATTTTTATATCCAGAGCGAAAAATGTTAAATAACTGATGGGATTTAGAAGGTATAAGCCGCCCCAATTGCTAAAGCATATCATGAATACTTTAAGATTGGGAACAAGCCATAAAGTAAGGACTTGATCAAAGGCGTTGAGGGAAGAAGAATGGTTGTAAAGTATTATTTTTTATAAGAAAAATAAAAATAAAGCAACTATGGTTTATAAAAAACTAAAGCAACTATGGATTTAATTTGGCCTAGAAGATTGATTCATTTCAACAATTGAACCTGATTTCTGACTAGCGTTACCTGTTGCTGACTCTGCAACTTCGTCAAGGCAGCAGGCTAATACTAATGATAATAATAATGCAATGAAATGATAATATGAACCTTTCCCGACAAACTCAACTTTTGACATGTTGCAGAAGACTCAGAGCACAACACGTTGCAAAAACGACTCAGAGCACAACACGTTGCAAAAAGATGGTTCCAGAGAACATGTTCTCTCACGTTTCAGAAAACTTTTTCAGAGAACGTTGCAAAAGACCGTTTTAGAGAACGTGTTCTCACACACGTTACACAAGACCTTTTCAGGGAACGTTACAAACCCACTACCAAGTCTTCTATAACTGTTCCAGACTTTCTCTTATAAATAGAGACCACTTCACACTCTTCAGAACACACCTCTCTCATCTTCTTTTCTCTGATCTTTTTTCTGTGTTCCTGAGTTAATTTACTCTTTTGAGAGTTTCTTGCTAGTTTCTAAGATCCTCGGATATTCCGAGAAGTTCCTGTTGTATCCTGGGGGACTTGCGCAATACACCGCGGATAAGTCCTTAAGGGCAGTCATTATACACGCCTCAGGAATAAAGTTTGCTCGTGTCTCTGTCAGTTTATACAACAATCTTAAGGACTTATGGCTGACAGTATGGATACCAACAATAACTCCACACCGGAAAAGACAAACAACATTTCCGGAACTCAAACTGTCTTTGCGAAATCGTTCCCGGACGTTTCGAAAATTGAAGTTTTCACTGGGCAAAACTTCCGGCGCTGGCAAGAACGTATTTCTACTCTCTTAGACATGTATGGAGTGGCTTATGCTCTTACAACTACCAAACCTGACTCCAGTACTCCTGCTAAACAAACTGAAGATTGGGTTCATTCGAACAAGGTATGTCGACACACCTTGCTTAGTGCATTGTCTAACGATTTGTTCGATGTGTATTGTTCCTATAAGGAAGCCAAAGATATTTGGGATTCATTGATTCTCAAATACACTGCCGAAGATGTCGTGAGACAAAGGTTTGTTATTGGAAACTACTACCGCTGGGAGATGCTAGAAGATAAGGATATCAAGATCCAGATCAACGAGTACCACAAACTAATTGAAGAGATTAAAGCAGAAAATATAGTCCTACCTGATGAGTTCGTTTCGGAACTTCTAATCGAAAAGCTTCCAGAATCCTGGATAGACTACAAACAACAACTAAAGCATAGACATAAACAGATGTCGCTAGCAGATCTGATCACGCACATCATCATCGAAGATACCAACCGGAAGGAGTGTGCTGCTGCAAGGGCTAAAGCATTATCAGTTAAGGCAAATATGATAGAAGACAAACCAACTCCAAAAAGGTACGAGAAAACACCTGATTATAAGAAGAAAATTAATTTTAAAAATTCTCGTCCTAATAGATCTAACCCCACCTTCAAGAAGAAGGGAAATTGCTTTGTTTGTGGAAAGTCGGGTCATCATGCACCTCAGTGCAGACGTAGAATGAGAAACGACAATCCTCTTAAGGCAAATTTAGTCGAGGGAGAAGATACAATTATTGTGGTCGTTTCTCAAATAAACCTTGTGACAAATGTGAGCAAATGAGTGGTAGACTCTGGTGCTACCAGGCACATCTGTGCAAACAGAAGTGCTTTTACCTCCTACACTAGTGTGGGGGATGGAGAAGAACATGTTTATCTCGGTGATTCCAGGACAACTCCTGTATTAGGAAAATGAAAAGTTCTTCTAAAGCTCACATCTGGAAAGACTTTGGCCTTGAATGATGTGCTACATGTGCCATTAATCAGAGCTAATCTAATCTCTGTAGCACTATTGAGAAAAGTTGGGGTTAAAGTGTCATTTGAATCTGATAAGATTGTGTATGACAAAAAATAATGTGTTTGTAGGGAAGAGATATTGTGATCAAGGTCTTTTTGTACTTAACATCTCTGAGGTTGTTAATGAATCATGTTCTTCTGCTTATATTATTGATTCATATGATCTGTGGCATGCTAGACTAGGACACGTGAATTCTTCGTATGTTATGAAATTGCAACGATTGGGATTAGTCAATATTCATGATAAACAAAATAAGAAATGTGATATATGTGTAGAATCCAAAATAACCAAGAAAAGTTGTCAGTCTGTAGAACGTCAAACTGAACTTTTAGGATTAATTCATACTGATCTAGTTGATTTAAAACAAACCACGTCAAGAGGTGGTAAAAATTATTTTGTGACATTTATAGATGACTACTCTAGATACACCAAAGTATATTTAATCAAACATAAAGATGAAGCATTTGACATGTTCTTAACTTACAAAGCGGAAGTAGAAAATCAACTAAATAGGAAAATTAAAAGGATTAGGTCAGATAGAGGTGGTGAATATACAACATTTAAAGATTATTGTCTTAAAGAAGGTATTGTTCACGAATTAACCCCACCTTATTCACCCGAGTCTAATGGAGTAGCTGAGAGAAAAAACAGAACTCTAAAAGAAATGATGAATGTCATGCTTATTAGCTCTAGTGCACCTAATAACCTTTGGAGAGAAGCTCTACTTACAGCATGTTTTTTACAAAATAGGATATCACATAAGAAAACAGGTAATACTCCCTACGAGTTATGGAGAGGTTATAAACCTAATCTTAAATATTTAAGAGTGTGGGGGTGCCTAGCCAAGGTAATGTTACCCAATCATAAGAAAAGGAAAATAGGTTCTAAAACTTCTGATTGCATGTTCTTAGGCTATGCAGAACATAGTGCTGCCTATAGGTTTTTTGTCCTCAAAAGTGATGTAATTGAGCATAATATTATAGTAGCGACAAAAAATGTTGAGTTTTTTGAACATATTTTTCCTCTAAAGGTTAGTGAGACACCTAAACAATCTTTAGAGATTAATAGTGACAAAATCTATGAGGATTTGAGGAGAAGTAAAAGACAGAGGAAGGAAACCTCCTTTAGAGATGATTTCTACACTTATCTAGTTGAAAATGATCCAATGAGTTTTTTAGAGACTACTAGGACTCCTGATGCAATACATTGGGATAAGGCCATTAAGATTGAAATTGATTCAATTAAGAAAAATAATACTTAGACTTTGATAGATTTGCCTAAAGGAACAAAACCTATTGGTTGTAAGTAGATCTTTAAGAAAAAGTATCATTTTGATGGATCCATAGATAAATATAAGGCAAGATTAGTAGCAAAGGGTTTTACTCAAAAATCCAACATTGATTATTTTGACACCTTTGCCCCTGTGACTAGGATTTCCTCTATTCGAGTTTTGTTAGCTCTAGCAGCTATCCATAAACTAGTTATACACCAAATGGATGTTAAGACAACATTTTTGAATGGTGAATTAAAGGAGGAAATTTATATGACTCAACTTGAAGGGTGTGTTGTTCCAGGTCAAGAGAACAAAGTGTGCAGACTTTTAAAATCTTTATATGGATTAAAACAAGCACCAAAACAATGACATGAAAAACTTGATAGTGTTCTACTTTGTAATGGTTTTTCAACTAATGATGCTGATAAATGTGTGTACTCTAAATTTGAGAGTGGTGAATGTGTCATTATATGTTTATATGTAGATGATATGCTAATATTTGGTACATGCATTGACATTGTCTCCAGAACTAAGTTATTTCTGGGATCGAAATTTGAAATGAAAGATATGGGTGAAGCCAATGTGATTTTGGGTGTTAAAATCATAAGGAAGGGCGATAGTATTTTTCTGTCACAAGAACAATATATTGAGAAACTTCTTAGGAAGTTTGGGTGTTATAACGCCAAACCAGTGAATACCCCTTATGATGCTAACTCTAAATTAAAGAAAAATAGAGGAGACTCAATCTCTCAACCTCAGTATGCCCAGGTAATTGGGAGCTTACTGCATTTAATGAGTTTTTCTAGACCTGACATTGCTTATGCAGTAGGTAGACTGAGTAAGTACACTCAATGTCATAATCAAGAACATTGGAATGCACTTACAAGACTTATGAGATACTTAAGAGGTTCAATGGATTATGCCATTGAATATAGTGGATTTCCCGCTGTACTAGAAGGATACAGTGATGCTAACTGGATTTCTGATTCAGATGAGACAAAATCCACTAGTGGCTATGTATTCACACTCGGGGGTGGTGCGATTACATGGAAATCAGCCAGACAAACAATTATTGCAAGATCAACAATGGAATCTGAATTTGTTGCTCTCGAAATGGCTCGTAGTGAAGCTGAGTGGTTGAAAAACTTCTTAGTAAATATTCCATTAGGAATGAAATCGACCTCGTCTGTATCAATACATTGTGATTGTCAATCGGCAATAACTATTGCTAAAAATAAGAACTACAATAGAAAAAACAGACATATACAGTTGAGACATAATTTAGTGAAGCAGCTGCTAAAGAATGGAACAATCTCCATTGACTATGTGAAGTCAGAACGGAATCTAGCAGATCCTCTGACAAAACCCTTAGCGAGAAATATGATTTTTGAAACATCGAGGGGAATGGGCTTTAAGCAACTTGCAAACAAACAGGTGATGGTGACCCAACCTTTGTGATTGGAGATCCCATGAATAAGGTTCATATGGGTAAAAAACAAGTCACTTGTTAGTTCTGCTAGCACTAAAATTGATTAAAATCAATTATGTCCATTCCTATGGTATATATGTGAAAGTGCTAGATACTGCATCATTGAGAGGTTAAACTTTGTAATTAAAATTCTATGTAGTGTACGAATTTTAGTCTAAACAGAGTTTTTAAACGATTTTCATATCCCTTAAGGGTGGTGTATGATTTGCAGCATATGCTTGATGAAGTCACCTATATGAGTGTCAAGTGAGGCCGTTTGTATGAGATTTTTGCAAGATTTATAGAGCACTCATGAATACCGGGCACGCGCATGGCCTAGTAAGCGCAACACAGCGATAATAGCAAGAATTGTCGGGGTGTATTGTGATTATTAAAACCGCTAACACACATTAAGTGTTTTGGTTCATATAGCTTGCTACACCAACTACACTGTGTGTTAAGTTTTTTAGTCTAAGACTGGTTCATATAGCTTGCTATACCAGCTCTGATGCATTACATCTTATATGAGACCCAGGATTTTCTTCTTTTATTTCTTTTATCCCTTTTGTTTTGCAATATGTGGGGGATTGTTGTAAATTAAGGGGTATTGCAAAACAGAGCACGTGTTCTCACACGTTGCAGAAGACTGTTTCAGAGCATACGTTGCAAAAGACTGTTTCAGAGAACGTGTTCTCACACGTTGCAGAAGACTTTTTCAAAGAACGTTGCAAAAGACCGTTTCAGAGAACGTGTTCTCACACACGTTACACAAGACCTTTTCAGAGAACGTTACAAACCCACTACCAAGTCTTCTATAACTGTTACAGATTTTCTCTTATAAATAGAGACCACTTCACACTCTTCAGAACACACCTCTCTCATCTTTTCTTCTCTGATCTTTTTTCTGTGTTCCTGAGTTAATTTACTCTTTTGAGAGTTTCTTGCTAGTTTCTGAGATCCTCGGATATTCCGAGAAGTTCCTGTTGTATCCTGGGAGACTTGCGCAATACACCGCGGATAAGTCCTTAAGGGCAGTGATTATACACGCCTCAGGAATAAAGTTTGCTCGTGTCTTTGTCAGTTTATAGAACAGTTTTTAACAACTCCGCTTATAACTTATCAAGTTCCTGGTTTTGTAAGAAATGCTCAGTCTCGACAATATTTTTTTTGAAAAATTCTAGCAAATTTCATTCATGAGTCAAGTATGAAGAGAAAAAACTCTTGATGCAAATTATATGAAACAGTTTCTAAAAAGCACAACTGAGCATTCTCAGTTTTGGGCAAAATTACAGCTATAGAATGAAGTTAGCAACATAATTGTACTTGATGTACGATTCCAGCGTGCTTGTGTATCTAAGCGGTGTATTATACTATAGGTATTAACGTCACAAACAATCTTTTCATAATTAGATGTTGTAAAATGCTAAAATTTATATATCAGTCACTCAGAAGGAGCAAATGATTATAAAGCATTACAGATCACAGTTAAGATGCAGAAAGAATGCAATATTCAGTAAAAATGCAGTCAAAGTACTTTTGTTCCTGCTTCCTAATCTAGAATTCATCTTAAATCACGTGTAACCTTGTAAACGAGTATGGGAAGCGACTCCTGACACTATCTCAGTTATTGCGTTGTCCTTGTTTCAAGATATTTGTTCGATCATCTATTGTTCATATGGCCCATATTAAATTGCAACATGAGAAAATGTTTTAGACACAATTTTCAAAACGTGGGAGATTAAAATCCAGAAGTCCAAAATGCTAGGCATTCATGTATATAACAAAATTCAGTGGAGAATGAGGCCACTCCTTGTACTATCAGACCCACAGGCCATGGATATTTTAACTACAAAACTACAAACAGAAAACAAGATGAAAGCTACAAAGGGACCATGAACAACAAATAGTGATATCTGAAAAAACACCATACAACTTTTTACATACTTCATAAAAAATTTGTTACAATACACAGATACGAATAATTTACAAAGTTTAGAAGCTTAATACCAAGTAGGAGAGAGCTACAAAATAAAATAAAAAAAATTAACCAAAAAACATTTGCATACATGTATTCTCATAATATACCATCTATCACAAATAAACGTGATAATTTCTACTTCTGTAACTAAATATGCCACAAATTCCACTAACATGCACACACATGACGCGTTTTCTGACTATTTAACCGCATAAAAAGAAGAGAGGAACTCATCTAGATGATGATATCTCAACTGCTTTAAATGCTTGGATGAAGCAACCCAAGTTCATCCTTGACCTGAAGGGGATTGCTGGTCTCATCCCGTATTCTCTTAACTCCCTTACTAGCCAACGACTTATGGGTGAACCCATAAATCTGCAATATCTGATTATCCCCAAAATTGAAGGCCCTATCCATTTGTTTCAAGCACCTCTCAACAGGGTAATCCCCAAACTTCCCACAAGGCTTGCACCCCACAAAATGAGTCACCAAGGGCCATCTATGGTCCCCAAGGCCAGGATGGTAATTCTCAATCATCTCCTCATACTTATCAACCAAAATTCCCCAATAACCATGCAAGTAATAACCGTTCTCAAGATAAACCTTATCACCCCACTTGTCCCTCTCCTTAGCCAGCAGATAAACCATTGCAGATTGATCATCAGCCTCAAAAACAGGCCTATCCTTAAGCTCACGTGTGAGAACTTTCCCAGCCTCATCCCTAACCCTCCCTAGAGGCCCCATTGGAGCCCAAGCATCAAGAATATCCAAAGACCACTGACAATTCCTCAACAAAAAACTCCCAGTGTTCAGCCCAATCCAATTTTTGTCGTCATAAACCATCTCATCCCACCCATGCATCACCAAGTTATGGTCCTTATACCTCTCCCACGGCACCTCAAACGCCATGTCCGTGAACATGGCATCACTATCCATCCACCATAGAAACTCCACCTCAGGGTGAGACAAGAGAAGCTTTCGAATCAAAGGAAGCTTGGCCCAAAACCCTGCCATCTCAGCGTCAAGGAGAGCCATGTTGTAAAACACCTCAATCCCATGCAAACGACAATAGTCAATTTTATTCTTAATAGACTTCAACAAGTAATGATCCCCAACGGGATTCTCGCACGGTTTCGGCGACGACCCAGTTACCAGAAGCACACGAGGCTTGTTGGGCCGAACGAAATTAGAGAAATTGGGGTTCTCACGAAGCCAGCGAGACCGTTGTTCGTCCCAGGTCGATATTTTGGGGCCGAGACGATACGGCTCGTTTGGGTTCACTTTCTCCCGGTTCTCGTCTTCCGGTTCGTCGACCAATATGGTGTTGATGTCCAAGGCGTTGTAGTTAGTGGTGGAAGTGGAATCGTCAGAAGAGGAAGAGGAAAACGACGTCGTGGATTGAAGCTGGCCGAGGAGGTGGTTGTGCTCGGGAAGCTTGCGGGTGTAGAAGCGGTCGCGAATGTCGACGAAGTCCTGCTCCGGCGTGCCGAATTTCCCGGCGCCGATGGTGCCGCGCAGGACAACAATGGTGAGGACCAAACAGAGGATCGTGACCCTGCAATGCCTGAGAGCTCTCTGGAATCTTCGCGCCCTCTGAGCTCCCAAAAACTTTTCTAACATGTTAATACCAAACCACAAATTCAGAATGGGAAATGGATGCGATTTGAAAACCCAGAATCATAAATGGGACACCAATTTGGGAACATTATTAGCGTAATTGTTCTGTGGGTGAAGGCAGAAACGCGTTTCCTCTGGAGAAATAATTTTAAATAAAAATAAATTAAAAAAAGGAAACAAAACCAGCTTTAGCTAATAATAATCCATTGTTGATTAAAAATTTGTAATAATTTAAAATATTTTTTATGTGCATTGTTTTCAATTTAAAAACAATTATTGTAACAATCAATTTTTGTCACAATTGTACGAGGATGCATGATTAAATGGCAGTTTAGAGAAAAGTATATATATTTTGTGATTTTTTTTTCACTGGGACAATTTTGTAAATTCATGTTTACAATTGTTGAATCATTCTTGTCATTGTGTTTATTCTTCCTTTTTAGTTGTCTTTTCATTTTTCTTGAAGGACCTTTTAAATAAATTCAAACCTAAGACAATCACTTTATTATTATTGTAATTGGCATTACCTTGGCCCAGATGGTGGGGTAAGTTTAGTTGGTGGATTGAGAACAATGACGGTATCTTGGAAATCAAGCAAAGGAAATGCTTGTATGTATAAAACATTTACTTACTGGTTAAAGTTATTCTTCTCACTCATAAAATCTCAATTTATTATTTCGAGAAACTTTATATATAATAATTTTTCTAAATTTTTATTCATAAAAATATAAAACTTTTCCTTTTTATTATGACACACAGATTCTTAGTCATTTATCCTATTTTTTAAAACATAAATATTATAAAACCACACTAAACCATTAATAAGATGTTTTAGGAATATTTTAAGAAAATTTGAATAGTTTGATTTCGTTTAATATTTTTTTTACATATAGGTATATTATATGATATGATCAGAAGAAAATGTATATACTATAAATAGTTACACAAAGGAATCTCTGTAATTAATAATGGTTATATATACAATTATTCTAAAAAATATAACTGAAAAATATTTATATGGTATAAAGGTAAAAAAAATTATATAAAAAAATGACACATACTAATCTTCCATTAATAGTACAAACTCTTTTATTAATAGTGTTTATGATAAAATTAATTAAAAAATATTTATAGGATAAAAAGGGTAAGAAAAAAATGTATATAAAATATATTACACGTACTAGTTTTTATTAATAATATTAATAGAAATACAAAGAGTTGAGTGTCTATATATTTTACATTATTTTTTATTTTTTAAAAATTTATTTTATTTCTTCACTTTTTAGATATAATTCTCGTATTTGTTATTATTTTTTAAAACATATAAATTATACTTATCTCATAAGATTTATTAAAATTATCTTCTATTATTTAATTTTTTGTTACATATTATTTTATTTATTATCTTATTTAAATTATAATTTTATTATCTTTTCTATTATCTTTTAGGTTCTATATAAATAGGGTGTAAGACTAAATTTTACTTTATCACTCTTATATCACTCATTCTCAATTATATTATTCTCAAATATATTATCTCTTTTCTACAAGTTTGAGCTTGGAGTGTCTTTTACTTTGAGTTTGAACTCACAGTATCTTTTGCAGTGAGATTGAGCTTATATTTTCTTTTGCAGTGAGATCTCTCGAAGTTACTTTCAATTACCCTTGATCTCTTGAATAAAAAACTCAGAGCGTGTCGACGTTCAAATATTCGGTAAGATCATAAGAACTCATAATATTTATATTTTATTTAATGAAAATTTGTATAATAATATAATTATGCCAAAGATAAATTAATTATAAATATGTTGTACAATTAAAATGAGTTATTTTGTTACCAAATCTCATATTTTAAATATAATTAATGTATTTAATTTGATAAAAGATAATGATAATGATCAGGGGCCTGAACTTCTACTCATCCTATGCATTAACTCATACATGCTCATTCAAGTAGTCAATACCTAGACTAATAATATTCAAGGAGATTAAGAACTCGTTCTACAGGAAAGAACAATTTTTTTTCTGCATATTAATTTAAAATAAATATGAACCGATGACAAACAGAATCATAATTTGTTTATTTTTGTTCCATTTAGGTTCGCCAAAAAATTGGAACGCCCACTCCATTTGTGGAATTATCTCTAAATAATTAGACAAGATACTAAAATTAATGTTTTAAACTATTTATGTAAAATGACTAATTTACCCAGTTTAGTTTCACGTCAAAAACGAACCTTTGACTGAAGAGACGTGGAACTAGCAAGGGAGAATTAATGGCATGTGGCACAAAACTGGAACTAGCGCGTATGGTAGTCCCATTCCCACGTCTATGCCACTGCACACCAAAATTGATTTTGAATTGAATTGAATCGAATCGATGGGGATGTAACCGTAATTTCATGTATGAACAAGACAAAGGAGCTTTATTAGAGTTTGGTTGCAGTTCGAATTTTATTTTATCAGATCCAAGCACGTTCAATGGAAATAGAAAGCGGCGAATGAATAAATAAAGCGAGAAGAAGCATGTGCATTAATTTAATGTTTTCACATACAGGGTAGTAAGGTGTGGTATACAACGACGTCACGAAAAGTTTGGGAGCATAAGAAACATATCGTCTACCAAAAGAAGCATCTCGTAAAAAGAAGAGATGGAATTGATGTGTCATTGTTCAAGTTTTCTTCTTTCGCCGGAGAACCACAACGCGACGTGTTCGCTTTCTCTCAACTACACTCTCGTTGTCCTCAATCAGAGTCTTCCGAGATTTGCTCCTCTGCTTTGGGACCACGGTATTTTCCCTGCAACCCTTTCCTTTGTTATTTATCTTTCGTTTGTTGATTCATGCATTGATGGATGGGTGTGTTGTTGCTGCAGCTCATGTGCGAGTGTGCGCCGATGGAGGTGCCAATAGGGTGTATGATGAAATGCCTCTTTTCTTCCCGCACCAGCAACCTTCCCATGTTCGCTCCAGGTTCCTATTTTTTCATTTGAATTTTTAGTTTTTAGTTTTGCTCTAAGGTTTCTTTCTCTCTTTAGTTTGGTTTCGTTTGCGTTACTTTATGTTTGTGGTTGTGTTGTTTCGCGCAATTGGGGTGCTGAATGTAAATTTCTGACTTTCCCATCATCACTTTTGAGTTCTGCCATTCAGTGGTCCAGGATATGTTCACAAAAGGCCGGTTATTGTAATAAAATAATGTTTCTTTTTCTTCTACATGCTGAAAATTCCTTAACGTTTGTGATTTCTGAGTTGGATGTCTTTCTTGAATTTTTCAAGCTGATGTGATTTTCTGCAACTTCTGTGTTACGTATTTGTGGTGGGGTTGGGCTTCTTAAAATTCTGAGTGGCTTTGAGTGAGATTGAGTGAATCAGAAAAGAAAATTGCCGAATAGGATTTTTGTGAGTTCGTGTAGGGTTCATCAATTAGATTCTGTTAATCCTTTTTGCCATTATCAGTCCATGTTTCATCATTGTGATTGATCATGATGAATCTGCTCGACAGATATAATGATGTCACTCTTACCTCTGGTCCTGGGTGACAGATGGTGCTTACCAGTGCCTTGTTTGTTTCTGCTTGTCGTGGAATTCCTATCTACGGCATTTGATGGTATCTTATTATATATTAAAGATATTCAACCATGTTATATTTCCTTATTTATATTTTCACTATACGTATCTGGGTGGAATCACTATGTGGGGTATTTGTGGAAAGTCGCATCGTCCTTCTGACTGGTAGTTAACAATATCTTCCAATTAACTGATCTAACTTCTCTTATAACACGCTTCTTTATACAACTTTGCATCTGGGATTGATATCAATGGCACAAGCTCTCCAAAGGATCTATATTTCCACTTATAGTCTATGTAGTATAATTGTTGGCTAGACTGCAAAGTTTCACATTTATTGTTTTCACTACTACTGTCAGTCTTTTGCTGTTGTTAGTTGCTGATAGCATGTTATGGCGTCTTCAACATAGGGTTGCAGATTTCTTTTTGTCTAACTTGCTAGGTTTCTATCAGGTACAAGCCTGATGTAATTAAAGGAGACATGGATTCGATACGCACAGAAGTACTTGACTTCTACGCAAAACTGGTATGCAAATAATTATCGATGTGTATCTCTTGTGTTTAATAATTGATAATAGAAAAATCAACTAATAGACATGCATGTAGTTGTTACAGGCAAAAATACATTCCTGAATCAAACAATGTGTTTTTCTCTTATCAGACAAAAGGCAACGTGTTTAGGACATTAATATTATGTGTTACTTCTAAGTCTAAAGGTTAAAATTGATGTAATGTAATTATTTTGTATTTTTGGAGAAGAGGGATCAAATAGATACACAACTGAAACAAAGGGACAAGTTCTAATCATGTTTAAAACAGTCCGACCTAGCACTTAAAGGACTTCAAAATAGTTTCATTAAGATTAACCGGAGGGATATTACAAGACTTGAGGGGCTTCTTAATAATTTTTAATATTTTAAGGAATAAATATGAAAGAAAATGATACTTAGGCGACCGAATATATGGCTTACTATTATTTTTTGTGACTAAGCTTGCACATGTACACGCAATAATGCAGAAATGAATTCAAACGGCAACTCTCTTGTTCAAAACAAAGTACCGTTTGTTATTCCTCTGTTACTGCTATATATACAATCTTGAATCTTGTATCAATCATGTGAAGGGTCTTATACTGGTTTTCTTCCTGCAGGGAACTAAGATAATTGATGAGTCGCACGATCAGGACACCACAGATTTACACAAATGCGTCACATATTTACGTGACCTCACCCCAAAGATTGAAGGATCAGAGGTGAGTTGAATACTTGGTTATACTATTTATTTTCTGATTTTCTGTTGGAGAGAGGGCGCACGGGTATTGAACACATGGGCTCAGATAATTTTGAAATAATTGAAATGAAGTAAGTCTAGGGCTTTATCTGCCCTAATCCCATTTTGGCAGTGAAGAATTGCCATCACGCTATGTGTCATTAGTTGTACTGTTGGAACTAACTCAGCTTGGCAATAACCCTCCCACCTTTCTTCTTAATGCAATGGCAGCTATGCATTCTTGTTGCTGGAGCACTTGGTGGGAGATTCGACCATGAGATTGGAAATATTAATGTTCTGTGTCGATTTTCCAACACACGAATTATCCTTCTATCTGATGATTGCCTCATTCACCTTCTTCCAAAGAATTACTATCATAAAATCTTTATTCAATCATCTGTTGAGGGTCCGCACTGTGGACTCATTCCAATTGGGATGCCGTCTGGAAGCTCTACAACCACAGGACTCAAATGGGACCTCAGTAAGTATTGCTTTTAGTTCTTTAAGAAATGTTAGGTAATTATTGTAAATATGTTGATCTGTAAATGAAATGTAATCTGCTTGAGTAGGATGGTAATCGTTGCTACTGTGATATCAGAAAAAAAAAAAAAAAAAACTCATTTTATGGTTGATATTAAGCAATATATGTGATGGATTTACTTTTCCTGTGCCGCCGACCAGTAAATAAATAGTTGAACACGTTTATTAACTATCTATCAGAACGTCAATACATGACAGTATAAATATGATGCTTTAGTGTGATGGAAGCATCAATGGTTCAGACAATAAATATCATCAACTTTCTTATCCTTTTTCCATCACCCATTCTGTTATTGTATATAAATGTTGTCTGCTGATGAACCTTTTTTTTTTGTCTATTTCAGAGGACACGGAAATGAGATTTGGAGGTTTAATAAGCACATCGAATATTGTGAAAGGGGAAATAGTTACAGTACAGTCGGATTCAGATCTTCTTTGGACTATTTCTATTAAGAAGCTCTAGGTTTTACATGTTGCTTAGTTCAGTGATTTTTCAGATCTTTCATACCTACTAATATGGGTCCTATTTATTTGAAGGCCAGAGCTTCAGCAGACCTTTCTTTATGTTTCATTCTTTCAATTTACTGTGTGAATTACGGGAGGGCGATAGGGAAACAGGGAATTATTCTTTAATGTAGGAACTTCTATTCCTCGTAATTATGCCTTGGAAATAAATAAGATTGTCATGTAAATATGGAAAGTCGATTATCTCGATGATATGTGAGTCCCCAATTATGTCGAGAAGATCTTTAATTCTGTCATTTTTTGGTAGACAATGAAACAAGGAAAAAAAAATTTTGATCAAGTCGATTACACTCCAATAAAACTCATGCCCATGGAATCTGCTACTAGGAAGGACTGAATTTCTATAGGAACTTCTTCTACTTAGACCACTGTCACAATAGAAACCCAGAATCCAGTGCCCTAAGTTATCTCCTGGAGACAAGAACTTAATTTGTTCTTGTATTATGCAGTAGTCAATCTGATCTCACATCATTTTAAGAAAGTTTTAAAAAACAATTCTCACAATATTTTGCAACAATTTAAGTTAATTCAAATACGTATTAATAGGGTTATAATTCCTGGGCCATTTTAAGCGTTGGTGATTATTTAAAAGTATATTTATAGCGATTATATATTTACAATGTTTATCTAAAAGGTATTTAAAGTGGTAATGTATTAAAATTTAAACTCTTAATTAATTTTTCTTAAAATAAAAAATATTTACTGTAATATACTTATTGTAAAAAAATATCCCTACAAAAAAAACATATCATATGCGCAATATTGATACACACAGACTTATTTTTCATTTTATTTCACTTTAAAAATATATTTAAATAATTAATTAATCTACGTATTCAATGAATTATTTAAAATTAGAAAAAAATTATGTAAATAATTTTGTATGCTTTTAAACAATCTATAATATGAGATTCAAGATAATATTTTGTATTTATAAGTAATTATTTTAAGTAAATCCTTTTAGTAATAACCGAGGGCTAAATTTCAACGTTGTGTGACCGGTGATGAATAAAGATCGAACATGTTTATGTGAGAGTTGAATTGAATCAACGAATCAATGAATTGATGTCATATATAAAAAAATCAATCATTTGGTGTACAGAGAGAGTCTTTCCCTCCTCATCACTCTTCTCTTCCACCTTCACTTTCTTTGAAACGCACAGTTTGAATCATCCACCACACCTTTCATCAACGACATGGTAAGTACCTCATTTTCTCCAAACCTAATTCTTTTCAAACGCCAACTTTAAAATTTTCAATCGGAAACAAACCTTCGTAGAACCCGAAGCTCTAGGGTTACCGTTACTGTTATTTAATCTTACAGTAGAGTGTATATTGATTTGATCTGTTTACCCTCATTTTTTGTTTACTCCTTGTAGCTTCCTCTATCCCTTCTCAAAACTGCCCAAGGTCACCCCATGGTAAATCACTTTTTAATTGTGTTTTGTTTGATTTCTAAATTATTACTTTTTTAATTTATTATTATTATTATGACTATAAAGATGATGATGATGATACTATAATGATGTAACAGTTGGTCGAACTGAAAAACGGGGAGACTTATAACGGGCATTTGGTTAATTGCGATACATGGATGAACATCCATCTCCGAGAAGTCATTTGTACATCTAAAGTAATGTTGTTTTTCCCATGGCTCGTAACTTGACTATGGAGGAAAGGTTTGTTCATAGATTTTGAATGAAATTGGCAATGTAGGATGGAGATAGATTTTGGAGGATGCCTGAATGCTACATACGAGGCAATACAATCAAGTACCTTCGAGTTCCTGATGAGGTGTGTACTGTGTAGCAGAGATTTTATTTATTTTAAAAAAATGGTAAATGGGTTGAGAAGATGGTGAACCTTTGCACAAATGCATAGTTGTTGCCTTGTGATCTGATGGTCATAGAAAAAAGCATCATCGTTGGATGTTTAAGGGAACTGGATTCAGTGCAGTCAAATTTGCATGCATTTACTCAGTCACTGTGTGATGACGATGGGATGGTTCAGATTTTAAATGTCTTTTTAATTCTGATTCTTCGAAATGAACCCTCTGATGAAGGTTCCAAATTGCTGAATAATTGAGTGAAAATTTGACTCTAGACAATCCTTATCTGCGTTTAAGGCTGCACTCATCCAAACCCCCCTTTAACCTTGCAATGGTGGGAGACTTGTGCATTGCTCTGTACCCGTTCAGTGAATAGAATTGAAGTTGTTGTTGAGTGATATATGAGCTGCATGTACATTGACCTACTAATCTTTCTTTTTTGTTATTATTTTAGGTTATTGACAAAGTTCAAGAAGAAACCAAGACCCGAGCAGGTAAGCATTGTTTTGGCATTTTGTTGGTTGGTAAGTTTAAGTGAAGTAAAATGTGGATGTGAGTTTGAAAGTCCTGCATTGCATTGGAGTTGACATGATGAGGACCCTATAAAATAGGAGGACCTACTAATCAAATTCTGTAAGAGTTTCAGTTAATAGGTGGTGTCTGAAGAAGAGAATTTTGGTTCTTCAATAGTTAGTAGGTCCTTCGAAATCGATCTCCTTGTTGAAATACGTATATATAAGGATATATATCATTTTTAATATATCACTGAAAAATAACTTCAAATGCTTGTTTGAAAAATACTAATTTAGCTGTGTATTATGAACTGCTTTTCATGCTACCTTCCAGTTACTGGATAAACTAGATATTCTCTGATTAAGATCTTCTTTTTCAGATCGCAAACCACCTGGTGTGGGGCGTGGGCGGGGAAGAGGCAGAGAGGAAGGTGCTGGTGGACGCCAACCAAAAGGAATTGGGCGTGGTCTTGATGATGGTGGTGCCAAGGGAGCTGGAGGAGGTCGAGGCAAGGGAGGCCCTAGTGGAAAGCCAGGTGGAAACAGAGGTAAATCATAAATTCGCTCATTGCATGTATTACCCTCTCTTCAATCATTTGTAGCCTTCTGTCCCTATAATTCACCGTGCCAGAAGTTTAAGAGTATCATGTTATTTTTCTTCATTTTCAACTAGATTAGATGAGCTCTTAATGAGCAAGAAATTTCAGAATTGTAAAACTATATTATTATTTGATGAACACATTACTGGTTCTAGTGTGTTGGTTTAATGTAAAACTTATGGTTGGGATTTGGAAATGTCTTGCATGTTGTATATATAAACATATATATATATATATATATATATATATATATTAAATAGAAGTTAAATTCTGGAAATGAATATTGTCCAATATATTTATTTCTTTTGGGACAGGGCGAGGTAGAGGCTGATTCTAACAAGTGGCGGCATGAACTACTTCAGATGGGCCTGTTGGCTACTTTCGGAGGGCATATGTGCTCTCGTCTTTAAAGTGTGTCGGTAGCAACTTGTGCATCCTTTGATTTTAGCTTCCAATGTTTTTCTTGTGTTTATAATCACAAATGTTAGTGATATTATATTACTTGAGGGGCTTCCATCTTCTTTTTATTACTCTTTCCTTTCTGACAGTTGTACATGAAACTTTTGGGGTTCTTAACTTGAACTCTTGGTCCTGTTAATGGCGAAGGCAAGTAGTGACGAAATGATTTTATTCCTCATCTCGAAGATTTGCCACCAAGCATTTAGCACAGCTGATTACGGTTTCGTTTTTCCTTTTTGTTTTATCTATTTGGGTCAACTGAGTTTGCACGATTTTCTCATTGCTGGTTTCTCATTTGTACCAAAGATGAATGTTTTTGTTTATTTTCATATAATTTAAATGATTTATTTCATGTTCAAAATATCATTATAATTTTCAAAATAAAATTGATTTTTCATACATATATTGTATAAATGGTTATATAGTGTATTTGTTTGAGTAACAATTTGTAAACACGAGTTTGGATAAAAAATTGAGTTATAACTAAATTTTGATAAGAACTTACTAGTGTTTTTACAATGACTTGAATATTTTTGTTTGAAATTATATTTGAATATTTTGTTTTTCGAAAGCATGTAGTTAAAGTAAAAATTGTTTCGATAATATTAATTTGACTTGAGATTGCTATTGAATTGTGGTAACAAAAAAATGAGGCTCTCGAACATTACTTTGAACTGAAACAAATTGAATTTAATGAAATAAAAGTCTATTAGAGAAACCTAAATAGATATCCAAACATAGACATGATACTCAAAGCAAACCAGTAAACAATAACAAAGTTACTGATAACCTAGAAAATCATTACATAAAATTGGCACGCCATATAAATACAAGATTCCAAGATGAATCAAGTAATCTAAGTATTTTGGGAAAACAAAAAAGGGCTAAGTAAAATAACCACGTACAAATATTACATGCAGTTAAGGACATTCTTGATAGTAAATACATTTTTTTAATCAAAATCCAACGCATTTCAACCAATGTTGCGGTGAAAATAATAAAACAAAAATTGCTCATTCGGCATCTAACTATGTAAGTTAATGGCTGGGCACGTTATTTGCTAGTAGGGTTGATGACGATTTTTCTTGCGAGTTTTTTCTGGCCTGATAATCAATGTGCTTGAAATCCAAGATTGATTTGATTCAGAAGACTCATCAGAGAGCCAACAACATAGCCTACCATCTTCCCCACCAGTCCATCCAAAAATGCCTTGGGTAGGACTATTTGAATGAATTTTCGACATGGGTAGAACACTCCTAATAACACTGGTGTGCCCACCTTCAAGAATTGCTTCCGCAGCTCCAATTGTTGCAGTTCCTTGGTAATTTACAGGAAAGTAGCCCATAGTACCAGTATTAGTGCCACCAATCACCCATAGTTTTTCAGCTTCTCTGGAGTAGTGGCAATCAATGAAATAGTCAACCTGCCAAAGGAAAATAATTTATGGGAGGATTATGTTAGACATATTATAAAACTTGTATGTTGGAGCAGTATAAAAGTTTTGCTTGGGAGCAGTAACATGGAAGATCATTTATTCAGCCTGCTCAGCCAAATTCATGCTTCCTTATCCACAGCACGAAATTTAAATAAATATATAGATGTATATTACTTCTTTGGGAATTTTCCTAGAAGCAGGGATGCCATTTCAATTAAAAACACTTTACATAGCTGAAATGTACCAGAAGCAAAACCTCTTGCAAGGAAAAGACTGGAGGATGACTTTTAAGAGAATCAACCCCACCCCTTCTCTCTTTTCTTCCTTTCTATCTTTAAGAATTAATGATATATCATCTGCATTGGATGCTTACACATCATGTCACATTTTTTATTTTGATATAAAGACTACAGTTTTTGTGCACCATATTCCAGTAAAAGTATAATGCTTTTCCAATCCAATTCAACAAAGCAAGCATATTCCATACAGATGGGAGGAACTCACATGATCCAAATTCCAACTTTCAGAGGCTAAAGTACGTGCATCTGAGAAGTTTCCTTCATTTCTTCCATCTTTCCAGTTCCAGATACTAGGCAGTAGAAGAAAGAACTATTAGAATCAAACTTTGAAAATGAGGAAAGTGTTAGTACTTAGTATGCATCCACATATTCGTTTAACACATTATGAGAATCAAACTTTAAAAATGACGAAAGTGTTAATACTGTCAGAATGCACACTACTCTGATTGTGACAGTGATGTCATTATGACGGTTGATTATTCTGTGTATGAACTTACCTTTCTTCAGCAATAGTAACAAAATTGAATGTGCAGGATACATATCAGGCAGAAATAGAGCTTCGGTAAGTTATAATAATTGTTAGCATTTTCTAAGGAAAAAAAAAAAGTAATGGAGATTAACTGTACCCCAAGGTTTCAATATGTGTTAAACACCAAAGCTTCTGGTAACTCTCTCCAAAAATCCCCACCTTTGCAATTGAAGTCCCCATATTAATCACCTACATGTTTGTCAACAAAAGAAATTATAATTTTATTCGAGAAACATACTGTAGCTCAAACATACAAAGGACTAAAGAAAAATTTCTTCTTGCAAAATATATATATATATATATATATATATATATATATATATATATACATACATGGATAAGACAGACAAACAGATATCTATCTATCTGGAATTCGGATACATAGGCAAGGAAAAACTAGGTTAAAGGGAGGGAGGATAAGGAATCTTGCAGAACAGAGAAAAATAAGTTGCAAGAAAAGAAAATAAAAGCAGGTCTTCTCGATCTATACAAGTTAGAAAAGGTATTCTCTTGAAATACAATACCCAATAGCAAAGAACCAAGGAAACCTAAAATACAATCCATTCGCAGATTGGTTAGCTGTCTTTAATATCTTAATTAGGAATCAAGATGCTTTGCAAGAATTAACAACTGGTGGAAGCTAAATTGAAATCCCAGACTTACTGATTCTAGATGATCATCATCATTGATATCTCCAGTAGTATCAAATGTGCAGATCAACCCATCTTCTGAAGCAGAAATAAGCTTGCCTTGTTCGTTGGGGACAAAATGAACCTAGCAAATTGCACATTTTGAGCAAATCAAACATCAATCCGTGTATCATATTGAATTGAATAATTAAACAATCAATTTCATTTTATTTACTAAAAAAATAAAAGCTAGAATAGTGCTTGCTAAAGCTTTATTTTTTATAATGAAAAGGATTGATATTTCATCTTGTATACAAAACGTATGTGAAAATTATTTCCCTGGTTTAATTCTATAACAGGTTACCCTAAACCCTAGACTAGAAATATAACTGCATTATGGCAAAGTAGGATCTACGAGGATGGGGTTAAGTAGTCAAGAAACAAGTTGAAACTAACAGAAGCCATCAGCCATAAAATATCTGAGGCCTACATCTCACCAATATCACTCCCTTCTCACAAGACTTCTACTCATGGAAGGGCCTTCTAAAGACCAAACTAAGAAGCAAGATCCAATTAAAGAATTCTTCTCCAGTAATCTTGCATCTATTTGCATTGAACTAATCAAGTAATACCTAAAGCCACGCTGAACTAAAAGAAATGACTACTGCGTGAAAATAAAAATTTCAAACAGCCTGACTAACTAATGATGTCTAACCCAGAAAATGAGGAATCAAGTACATAGTTTAATAAATCTACAAGGACCATTTTCCATTAATTTCTTAAAATCTAGCAAGATTTCCACAGTTTTTTCGTTGAGAAATATTTGATCTCCATTGGTTGCCACTCTTAATAATCCTACAGCTTCTACAAGATATTGGAATAAATGAATTAGATGCTAAGTTGCAGTTGCTTTTTCTCACAACAAAATTCTTCAGGAAGGACATCCGCAAGTAAAACATCCTTTTCCCTCAGGAATATAAATTTTCAGCTAATTCCATTAGATCAAGTTTCCAATAAAAATATAAGTGGTTTACTAAGTCGAGAAATTTGAACAGCACAAACCTGAGTGACATCATCCACATGAGATTCTTCCAGGCATGCAATTCGCTTCATATTTCTCCAATCCCAGAACAGTATCTGAGCAAACTTATACTTTAGGACACAGCTAACATAACACTTGTTTAAATCGTGTACACAGAAAAACGACAATAAAGCAAACCTGCGATTTACATCCGGCGGCAACTAAATTCCCACTAGTTCCTCCAAGACAGAAGCTGAAAACCTCCTGAGAAGAACCAGCATCTATGCAAGAAACCTACAATTTGGCAAGTAATCCAACACATTCAAGCACCAAATTACTCATATACACAGGAAAAAGACTTACAATTAAACAAGAAAAAATACCTGCTGAAATGTGCGTGTGTCCCAAGCTCTAATAGTGCCATCAGAAGAACACGAACCCAAAACATGGTGATGTGAAGAACCCGAAAACAAAATCTGATTGATGGTTGCAGAGTGACCCTTGCACTCTCCAAAATATTGACCCGCCATAGGTGAATACAGTTTCACTGCGTTGGTTGACAAAGAAACCGCCATTGCACTCCAATCATCCCTTTAATTGATAAAAATAATAGGAACCCGATTCACTTTCGATAATTAAGAAGGAAATTTTACTATTTTCCAGCGAGTTTGTGCAAGAATTCACACAGCTTAACCGGGAACAAAAAGAAGTTACGTACTTTGGTACAATTTGGAAAACATAGTCGTCGCCGAAGTTGGTTTGAATAGAGTTTTTAAGGCCAAAGCGTTTAACGTTGGTGGAGTTGGGTGAAGGTTTCTCCTCGACATCCATGGCCGTACTGCTCTCCATTGAAGTTGGGTGTCAACAGAGTGTATAGGTCAGAGTTACAGAAGAACAGACTGCGTTCTTCATAACAGCCTGGGTTTTAGGGCTTTGATAACCTCCTATGAGGTCCACTTAATTTACTCTTTTTTTTTAGATACATATTTTATTCAAAACTTTTTTATAGATTAAGTTTTTTTTTTTCTTTTAAATTTAACAACTAAAGTTCTACACCTCCTTTTTTTTAATGGAAACGAGGTTAATTACCCTAGTATGGGGTTTCGATTTTAAACAATAGTTTCTCTAAGATGGTAAAACATAACTAAAATTGATTATCTAATTATACATTTTACTTCTAAGATTTTATGTTTCTATCAATTTTATTCTCAAATTTTCAATGTCACAAATTTTATCATATGCCATTTAATATTATAGGTATTATTTGTATATAATTCTTTTAAAATTACATATTATGTGACTAATAAATAACAATATTATTTTGTATCTAATTTAAATTTAAATTGATTATTTCTTAAAATATATTAAAAAATATACAAAAGTTATTGTGATGCTTTTTGTGCTATTTAATATTTATCTTATTTATTTTATAAATAGTAAATATTAGATATTAAAATAATTAACTTAGAGAAGATTAAATTAAATATTGAAATAGTTGAACCCAAGGTAAAAAAACATATAATTGTTTATTTCTTTTTTCATTTCTACTTTAATAAATTATTTATAGTAACTTTTATTCCTAAAATAACTAATTAATCACCTATTTTTGAAAATCAATATGAAAAATATGATTTGTTCACTTAACTGTATTTTAATTAACATGTTTAAAATGCTTTAATTATTAATTAATTTTAAGCATGACAATGGGTTGATGCGATCAAATTTTGCCTCCCAATTCTCGTTTTATGAGGTTAGATAAGTCTTCATAGAACTATGAATTTCCTCGTCTCATTTCTGATTATATTATTTTAAAAAAATTATTATATTTATAAATAAATATTTATATATATTTTTTATATATAAATAAATATTTATAATTTTACAATTTATAATAATTATTAATTAAATATATTTTTAATTTATTATATTTATATTAAAAATATATATAAAAAATATTTAATAATTTTTTATTATATATAGATAATATTTATAATAATAATAATATTATTATAATATTATATTTAAATATTTATATTATTATTATTATACTATATTTAAATATTTTATTATATATATAAGTTAATTTATTTTTAAGTTATTATTTAAAAATATAAAATGTATAATTTATAAAAATATTTAATAAATTAATTTCTATTTATTTAATTTAAAGTAATCAAATTTAAATTATCAAATTTTTTTAATCTTTAAAATAAAATAATTTAAAATTTAATATATAATATATAATAAATAAATAAAAATAATGACATAATAAAATTTAATAAATATAAATTATAAATAAAATAATATTAATTACTATTAATATTTATATAAAATATTTAGGAAAAAAAATAACTTTATATCTATCAAAATTAATTAAAAAATTAAAAATAAAATAAAATGATAAAATATAAAAATAAAATAATTTTATATATAATAAAAAAATCCATTTAAAATATTAATATTTTAAAATTTAAATATAAAATAAAAATAAAAAATAAAAAAAAAGATTACGTTATCTATCTCCCCTCCAAACTTAACTTTTTAAAATCAAAAAAATCCAAATTCACCCTTAATCAACTCAAATTCAATTTTTCCTGTCAAACCAATTTTTTCCATCAATCTCTCGAATACAAATTTAATTATCATCCCTAATTAACCCCTTATTTTTTAAGAATCAATATGATTTTTTCACTTCCATCATGATTAAAATCCTTTAATTATAATTTTGTGAAACATATTTTGCAGTTTATTAAACCATTTAAAAATTTAGCAGTTACAATAAATTATTCTTTATATTACAAAGTTGCTGTATTTTATTTCATTTCCAAATTTGTGGTCTTCTGCAGTCAAGATTTCAAAAAGACCTTGAAAAGGAAGTAACATTTTGTTTAAATTAAAGTGCTATTTTGAAAAATAGTTAGAATTGTTCAAACTTGGGTAACAAGGCAAAATAGCAGTCATACCAATCCAAACGTGAAAAACAAGAGTATGGATATCCCGATAAATAAATCTCAATTATACAATATCCTAAGTCAACTAGAAGGAGCATTTTTCTGGTAATAATAACTGCTAAATGTTTAGCCACCACACGAGACACAAATGTCTCATACATAAAACAACTACCAATCAATGGTACAGAAGGAAAATCTCAGTCGAGATTTGTCATAAAGCATCTTCTTGAGTCACGAACAGGATCATGTGCTTGGAGCAGCCTCTTTTGTCCCCGTTGATGCCTCGCCAACATCGTGTTCAGCAGGCTTCGACACTTCTTGCTCTGAAGAGTCGCCAAACAAATATATATCAGTTAGAATGTAAATTAACCCTTGAATAAACATCTCGATAACATCTATATTTGTATCTTCTCAATATCACATCAAAAGTTCATTCCCATTATACTCGTTGCAAATAAAATTATAATCACACAAATAAGTTTGATAAACATTGTAGCAACAATTATAGAACGGGGGAAGGGGGAAATGGCCAAGTTGCAGCATATTGATGATGATGCCAAGGGGAATTCAGGCTAAATAATCCTGTTCCCTTTTACAAATTGTTATGTCCTTGAAGCATAAGACAGCAGCAAAATTATGCTCTACCTGTACTTGTCTGTTTGATGGAGGATAATGCAGAAATAAAAAGATCGAATAAAAAAACCATACTGCCTTTCAAGGCTCACTGAATTAAAAGGTCGAGTATCTCAACTGTGGCACTACAATTATGAAAAAAAGGAAAATTTTTAAAGACTTTTAGAGATACATGACAATGATCAAGGATACAAGATCTACTTAGAATGAGAAATGTTATCCTCAAACAACATCCTCCTAGTCATTCTAATATTACTAATGATGCATTTGATATCAAATTAAAGAGGATTGGTAGGATATAAAATTATCCTTGTAATTATATTTATATTTTGTTTAGATACTTGAAATATCAAATTTTGAATACATGGTCAGCAATGTGCCTCCAAAAAGACATCAGCTAATTCCACACATGACAGGTTCCAGCCATACACAGTGATATAAATCATCTCCATCAAACAGTTAATTAATCTACTTTAACCATTAGTTCCATTTATAAGCTACTTAAGAACCATCACAATGGTACATTTTTACATAAATGAACTACTAACACAGAATTGCACATTTCAATCACAATTCACTGTTTTAGTTATAAACTGTTGTACTTAAATTCGCACTCTACTCCAAACTCTATTACCATGCACATCATATAGACCAAAAGCCATCTAATAGATGAAAACAAAACAAAAATCAGTAACTCTTAACAATAATCTTTTAATATTTAATTAACATAAACTATAGCTACCTTTAAAGCCACATTAAGCTGCAAAAAACTGTTACTCAGTTTTCCAAGTGTTCATATTTCCTATAAAATTTCACCGAGAAGCATATATATATAGTCACATACACATTACTGTAATTAAACATAAAAAGAAAAAACTCAGAAGTCAACACAATTAAACTATCCTCTCCAAATCAATAAATTAAGTAAAATCGTACCTTCATCATCGCTCTCATCAATATCATCCATTGCATCACCACCAAATTTCTGCATCATTCAAAATTAATCAAAACATACACTATTACATCAACAAAAGAACAGAAATCAACTGAACATATTACGTACAGAGAAATCCATCCCTCCCATTCCATCAGCACCCATTCCCCCAAATTTCTGCATAAAAAATAGTGAGGATATAAAATAATATATTTAGGATAAGAATTTAAAAAGATAATCAAATGAACACATTGCATACCGAGAAATCCATTCCTCCCAAATCCAGTTCACCTAATCAACAAACAATAAGAAAATATAAATAGACTATGCAAAAATTGTATTGTGCTGTAAGAAGTTAACTTTAGGATATAAATATACCACTGCCATCTTCTTCATCCTCATCCACCCATTTATCCCAATCTACTTTCACATAATGTGGAGTTTTGCCTTCTCCACGCAGTAACCTTTTCCACCATCCATTTTCTGCCTTCTGCACTACACAGAATATGCTTCGCACTCCTACATTAATTTTGCTCTCCTGAAAGAAGAGAAGGGAGAAGGAAACCAAGCCATAAATTGTAAGTAGTGAATGACACAAAAACATGTATAAACATTACAACTTCAATTAAATTGTATACAAAACAATAACACTATCAACAAATGTCAATTGTTCAATTGACATTAAAAAGTGAAAATAAACATTCGAGATGCAGCAATGTTTGAGCTTTAGAGCACAAATTGAGATTGACTTCTAACCTCTACATTAACCTTCTCAAAAAGCTCCAGTCTTAGCTCATACTGATGAGCTTCAGTGCCAGCACTGCCAGAGAAGGTAAAGATGCCTTCAGGCGTAAGATCCACTTTTGCATTCTTTGAATCAGCTAATTGCACGGTGATATAGACCTTGTCAACTCTCTGAGCCCACTTAACCTCAGGATGACGACTGCATCACAAAGTGCATTTATAAGTAAATAACGAGGAACGACTAGAGAGGGTTCAGAAAGCATTTCAAGGCAAGAAAAAATAGATGAAAAAATCGAACAGCTGAAACTTTTTTTCACTGATTTCACAAAATAATGAAAAGTCACATCACAACTCACTTTCATTAAAACTTATAAGTCATACGGAAAACACCAATCCTTCACAGGAAGACGATGAAGAATAAGACACAAAATGATAGAAAATTGACAGCCAAGATGTAAAATTATCATAATAAAAAGACAACAAAAACTAATAACCTCATCGCGTACCCAAATCTCCAAATACAATTTGGGCAGGAAAGTCTGCCTCCTACAGCTATCTTTAGAAGGTTTTTTCAATTGGCTCAAGATTTTCAAAATGCCACTGAACATTTCAGGTTTGCTGTAACTTTAATTAAAAAAAAAAAAAGGTTGTTGTGATGTAGCCAAAAAGTAGGAAGAACTCTACAATCTCCAGGATCACATATCAGTAAAAACTCATCCCAACAAAACAACAAAAACTAACAATTTGATCGATTAGAAACCGAAATTATAAAGGAACGTAGAGTCGAAGACAAAAAATAAAATAGTTTCGTAATATATAGATGTAAAAAAATGCGAGATAAATAAACAGGCTCCGAAGGGATAAGTAGCAAAACTATATACAGGGTTTATAGATTGTACCTCATATTTGGTATTGGATTGGGATGCAGAAAATCGAAGAGAGAAAGGTTTTTTTGTAAAACCCTAGTTTCTTCTTCTTGAGTGAGAGAAACCCTGAAGTGAACCTCCTTCAACAATCGCTTTTTAAGAAATAGTATTTATATGCCATAAAATACGTTACTTACGACACTTCTAGACTTCTAGTACCTTCCGTGCGCTCAATCCTTGTTTTAGTTTCTAGAATATGCTCAACTCGCACTTGCTATACATTGGCCCAACCCAATTTCCCTTTCGGCCCAATTAGTAGTCATGTTAAAGATCTGGGCCTAGACAGCCACTCTTTCTTTTTTCACCTCCATATCTCCTTCCTAAACCCTAATATTTATTTTTTAAAAACAATAATATCCCTATTAATTTTATGAAACTAGTAATTTTAAAGTATATTTTTTAGTATTATGGATGATAAAATTATAAAAAAAATTACATGAATGAATTTGAAAACATATAATTTTTTTTAAGTTTATAATATAATTTCATCTAGAGTGGAAAAACTTCTAAACTATTGATTCCAAAATAATTTGTGCATTTTAATAATTTAAGTTTTGAATTACAAAATCGAAATACAAAGTTCATCATTCTAAAAAGTGAATAAATTTCTTTTTTGAAAAATCAATCCAAAATAATTAAAAAAAATTATTTCTAAAAAATGTAAAAAAACTTTCAGAAAGGTTAATAATATACATACGTTTAGTACGGACGAATATACGAATATTTAAATAGATTAAATAAGTTTGGTTTCAGAAAATTTGAAGAAATAGAAGTGAGAAGCAAGGGGAATCATTTCATGTGCGTAGAAAGAGTAAAAAACTAAAAAGTCATATAGTAAAATAAAAATAACTTTTTACTCATAAATTAATCTGTTAAATATCATTTTTATTTTTCATCAACAATTAATTCATCATTAAATTTAATTACTTATATTAGTTTATTTTATAATTATTACAAAATTATATGATTTTGTTATAGAAATTAGAGGTAAATAAATTACATATTAAATATTTTTTTAAATAATTTCAATTAAATATTTAAAATAATATAAAATTTATTTTAAATATTTTTTTATTTTTAAATATTGTATTTTAATTTTATTTATTAAATTTTCTATTGATTTATTATACTTTAAAATTTATTTAATAATAATAATATATGTATAACAAAATATATATATATATATATATATATATATATATTATAATAATTATTATTATATTAATAATAGTACTAATAATGATATTAATAATAAAAAAATCATAATTATAACTATAACCAAATTATTATAATAATAATTTTAATAATAATACAAATAATTTAAATATTTATGATATTTCAAATTTTAATAATAATTTTTATTAAAAAATGTTTTTTATGTTTTTTATTCAAATATATTTTCTTTTATTATTTCTATTAATTAAATTATTCACAAACTTTTTATCCTATATTCTATTTTTTTAATCTAAACAATCTCCTCTACACGCTTTCTAATTTCTTTTCTTTAATTTAAACAATTTAGTTTATAGACAATTAAAGTAAAAAGATGTTGTTTGTATCAATTAGTTTGAGTAAATAGATAAGTAAGATTCATTGTACAAACTTTACCTGTTAACAAGAGAAGATTTGGGTAGAAAGTGTGGTAGACAAAGATAATTAATTAATTTCACTTTAATATTCATATATTAATTAATTATAAGAAAAAATATATAATTAATCACTTATTCATTTATTTGGATGTTGTTTTTAATGATCATCTTCATTTCACCATTTTATTTATCTTTTTTTAATTATGTTTGAATTTTCTTTTTATGATAATCAATCTAAAAAGATAATATTTTATGATATAATTAATTTTAGAATATTTTTTTAATATTTTTATATTATTAAGATATATTAAATATATTATTATTAAAAATTACTGTTCTTTAAAAAATTAATCTATAGAACATTTTTTAGAATCATAATTAATTATTATTATATATTTAAAAATATTCATAAGATACAAAATAAAAATAAATAAATGTTAAAATTGAATTTTTATGGAAGATTTATACAAATTTATATTTTTAATAAAATATAACAAATATTATTATTTTCTTAAAATTATATTATCAAGGCAAAATATTTATCAATTTTATTAACAATTAATCTTTATAAAAAATTATTATCAATAATATGTATATCTTTATATAGACAAAATTTTACTTATAATTTGTAATTTTACACATTATTTCTATTTTTTTAATTAATGTACAATTCCCGCTTTTCAATTTTTTATTATTTTAGTTGTTTATATCTATTTATAATTATATTGATTTTTTCTATTTTTTAATCCATGTTGAATTATCGCTTTCAATTTTTTATTATTTTAGTTGTTTACATCTATTTATAATTATATTTAATTTTTTTTCTATTTTTTAATCAACGTACAACTATCGCTTTTCAATTTGTTATTATTTTAGTTGTTTATATCTATTTATAATTATATTTAATTTGTTACTTTTAATATAAAAATATTTTAATTATATATATTACTACTTGTTAACTAATTATATTTTTATTTTAATTTAATTATAAATTATAATTTTTTAATATAACTTTAGAAATAAAACACTCTTGTCATTAAAATATATGATTTTAACTAATCGACTGTATTCTACTGATTTTACTACTATGAATATATAACTATATGAATATAATTAATTAATTACATAAATATAAATAATCAAATATATTAAAAAATAATATTATTATATTAAAAAAAATATTTATTGTATATGAATTAATTCTGAAACATAAAAATATTTATTTTTATATTTTGTTTATTTATAATAAAATAAAAAATATATTTAAATAAAATTTTAATTTATTTAAATATACTAATATTATAATGTAAAATATTAATTAATTTAAATTTTTTATTAATGTAATTTAATGTATAATTTTATTTTTTATTATGAACTTTTTATTATATTTTATTTGTTAATTAATAAAGTTGTACATAATTTATAATTTATAATTAATTATTTAAATAATTGAAATTTTATTTTCACTAATTTTTTAAATAATATTTTTTAATTTTAAAAATACTTATAATTTTTATAATTATAAAAAATAAAATTAAAATATTTGTATAAAATATCACAAATTATTTGTATAATTTAAATATAAATTATTTTTATCTATTCTATAATTTATATTAAATTATATCACAATTCTAATTTATATTTATTTTATTTATAATAATAAAGATATTTTAGTTAATATATATACTTTTTATTTTTTTATTCAATCATGTAAATGTCAATATCAACTTCGAATCTTTCTTCTAATTTCACTTTACTTTCCAACCCACCAAACTTACTTTTGACTCCGTCCTTCTTCTTTTCCACCCTCATTTCCAAAATAAGCATAAAAGGTTTTGATTAAAGTGACTATAAGAAATACCACCCTACACTTTACTGGAAAATGCTTCAACTACCAATTGTGCTGAACTGATTTCTAAGAAAATATTAAAATTATAACTTTTAAGTGGATTTCATCATTTTCTCTTGTCTTCCTTCTCGTTTCTCAAATCATCATCAGCCCGAAAAAGAAAACCAACGGCCATTCATTTTTAGAAAGATTCCACATTTTATTTTTATCTCTGACAAAGTCCTCCTTTTTCATTGAATGTCCACCCATTTTTGTTTACCTAAAAGTACTTTTAACCAAGTTAAATTAAATTCATTAAGTTAAATTACAACATTAACTTCAACAAAAAATTACTTTATTTTTATTTTTTTTCACCTTACAAAAATCAGAAAATGGCTCATGTCTTAAAGAATTATGTAATGATCTGAATACTGAAAAATAAATAAAACTACGAATAAATAGAAAACGATTTTTAATAAAATGAAAAATATTACTGAACTTTACTCTGTTTTCATTACCATACACCACAATTTATTTTCACAAACTTTTTCTTACTTTCATTAGTTATACTTGGATAACCGTGAGGTTAATATTGTATCTAAAAGATATACAAGATTCACGCTTTTCTATTTCCTTGGTCCTACTAATTCGTGTTTTTAAGCATCTTTACTAATTAGATATAATTAACTATTAGGAAATTTATAATCCATAGTTATTTGTTTTACCTTCATAAGTCTTATCATATCCCTCTTAAATTAAAATAATTCATGTAATTTACACATTAATTAAAGTTTGGTGCTAGAGGGATGGTTGGTGTGGAGAATGTTCCATAAATTGGTATCATCATATCCCTTCAGATACCAATAAGTCAAAAGTAATTTAATAATACTAAAAAAAGTTTTTATTTATCATTGCACCATAAGTGAACTACTTTGTTAAAAGAACATAAACAACTGTCACACTTGTTACAAAATAAATTATTGTCAATTATTAAATTATATTTAATTTTTTCATTCTATTTTTCCTTTTTTTCTCTCACCTACTTATGTTTTCCCCCTTATCTTCTTTCTCCCTTCTAAATACATTACAATGCGTATTTTATATAAAATAAAATAAAAATAAAAGAAGTAAAAAATAATAGAAGAAAAAAATGTTATTTAATTGAAAATAAGTAAATAAAAAATACACATAATTTTTTTTATTTAATTATTATTATTATTATTATTATTATAATAAAAGATATAAAAAGCATAGTTAATATATATGATCATCAAAATAATTCAACATGTAGTATTTTTAAGTATTTTTTTTCACACTTTTTCTCCTTTATGGTTATCCAACTCACTACCATTAATTATTATTTGAAAATTATTAAAAAATTTAAGTTAGTCTAAGTTTTACATTATTTAAAAATAAGAAAGTTTAACAATATAGAAGGAAGACAAACTCATAACTTAATGTCTTAAGGTTTTGAGTTGAAAGTAATTTTAATTCCTTATCTAGGTTGGACTATTCTAATTATAATAGTTTGGATGATAATTATAATAGTTGGACTATTTTT